GATCTTTGTACTAGTACAGTCACTAGCGAAATCTGTTTCCTCGTTACAGAAGTGACTACTTTTCTTTACACGGGACCCACTGCCAAGGCCCTAGCACAGATCATTCATTAATCCAGCCATTCTAAAGTTGAGCCTCGTTAGACAATGTAGCGTGTATGGTCCTTTATCTCAGTCCGTAATATTGCATCTCGTACTGTGAATATTAGGCGGTAAACATTGGGAGTCACGGTATTAGTTTAGGAGCATATTACGGCGGCCCTCAACTAAGCGTGATTTAATGAATTAAGTATCTGCGCTAAAGCCTTGGCAGTGGATGCTGAGAAAAGAAAAGCAGTTATTAAGGAGAAAGAAGTTTTCCCTAGTGACTGTAGTAGGGGCTCGCGCGGGATTTTCTTATAGAAGAAATGATTTTCACTATTGACATACTTAGACTGATTTCTCTTGGCGTCGAAATTTATTGAACGCGATTTTCCTTCAACAGGGGGGTGGAAAGGCCCGAAAGTGGCGGGCTGATGTTGCTCACGTTAAACATTGATAAATAAAAACAATAGTAATAAGATCAATAGTTCAGTGGGGCAATGGGGATCTGATCAATATAATGCCGCCATTCACGCGCAAGACCTCTACTGTAAATCACATAAGAAAGCTCCATAGCCATACTTTTCGCCTAAATAGCCAATCATGGTGGCGATTTGTTTTCTAGGAAATGAGTGGTTAGGTATTGGCTGTGACGGTCTACAAAGGAGCTTAGTAAAAGACAAGTTTGTTTATGACTCGTAGTCAAAGAATTTTCCCATAGGGAGGAAAGGCTATCTAGGGGGGAGGATCCAGGGACTCTATATACTGCCTGCAGGATCCCTAGGAATGTTCCTGGATGCCTACCGCGGAGGATCCCTTGATCCTATACTAACTAACCGGAACGTTCCTCCGTACAGGGAAGCTCCCTGGCTTCAGGAGGTAACATTGGCTAGAGGGAGTTGACCGCTGGGGCTTTTCGAGCAGGTGATCGCACAAAGCCTCGAGCATGACTGGGGTGATACAACGGGAACGTCCGCCTTTTTTTAGGCGGTGCTTTGACGCTGCCAGACATCCGTTGATTAGAAGAGATGGTACTCCTGTGACAATCAGCGGCCTATCCCATCTCATGTATACATAGTTCGCCACTATAGATCATGTCATCGATAAGCTCAAGCTTAGAAGGAGCTGGGTTTGGAGCCACCTTTGGTTCGACTACTTGTGGTTGACTGTTAAAATATGCCTCCCAAGGAAGGCTATTTTGGAGGGAGGTATGGAGATAACAGATGTACAGTGGCCGCTCATTAGTACTTCCGCTCATTGGCAGAAACATAAGTGGGCCAGGTACCGTGTTCCAATTACTAATGAACGCTGACTGTATTAAATTTACAAGCGAATACATGCTTGTAGTGGGTGCGTAATCTATGTAAGAAGTAATACACGTCTAATTGACAGGGGTACTCCGAAAAAATCCCAAATAGACTAGTGTATATTGGCGGTGGGGCTAGAGAGTCTCTCGAAGAGTGTAGGCGGGTGCACCAGTTTCGAGACGCACTGTATCATACGAGGATACCCCAAAAAGACTACAGTTACAGAATAACGTTGTTTTTGAAGAGACGAATCCGGATATCAAACCATCGCCAGTTATTGAGGTGTTGTGGCTGTCATTGTGTGCCGAGCGGGAACTAGTCTCGGCCCGATAGCGATCCCGCCCGCAGGGGTTACCGAACCCCATCCCACAAACACCCAAGAAACAGCGACAATTTTTCAGCGACTATGACTTTCGCCCGAGGATCCCAGCAGCAAGAAAATGCCACAGGCGAGGCCTCGACGCAGAAGGAAATGAGCCGATCGCGAACCCTGAATTTGTGATGAACGATAGCTCTGATAAGGCTCGAAAATCGGATGGAAACGCTTGATCATTCCTAATACTGCAACTGCAGAGGTTCTAGAGATGCAGCTGCCCAGTGTGGGTCAGATGACTGACTAACTACATGCAGGTTAGCGCCGTAAGCCATACCAGCACTCCAACAATTTGCGACCGGCGGAGAAAATAACGGGCGGGTAACGAACCAAAATGTCCGACAGTATTTTAACAGCTTTAATGAGGCGCTCAAGCACCAGACCGAGATAATCGAAACAGTGAAGGCGGAGGTCAAGAACTTAAAGCAGAACAACAGTTCCTGCGAACTTACAATGAGAAACTGCGGGAAGAGATTCAAGCCCTTCGGGCCAAACTGGAGGTACAACCGCTGAACACCCCCGGGAACAGATCCTGGGCGGAAGTGGCCGCTGGCAACCCTTTGCCAGATCCCGCGAAAACCGTCCCGCGGCCCAGAAAGAAACCCAATTGCGTCCGAATTAGTATCGTACTAACCCTAGTTCAAGATATTAATAATAACCGATTCTTGAGAGCCCTGCTTACTGAAGCAGCGAATACACATATCAGGACCGCTCTGCTGAACGCAGAGACCACCAAAGACGTACAAGTAGCGGGTATTGGTACTACCAAAACAGGGTATGTCATCCGATTCCGGGACACCCAGTCTGCGGAGACAGCCCGGAACAGCACCGAGTAACTGGAGGAGCTGGAAAACAGTACCAAAGTAGTGAAACCCTGGTTTGGGATCGTGGTTCACTGAGTCCCGACCGAGGACTTTGAACTAGAAGGAAACAAGAAACAGGGAATAGAGAAGATTATGTCTGAGAACGATCTCCATAACAAGAAGTTCCGGGTCGAAGACATCGTATGGCTGAAGAAGAGAGACATGCCCCTGGGAAAATCTGCCTCGATGGGGGTCTGGCTGGACTCACCGGAGGCAGCAGAATGGATTATCAATAACAGACTCTTAGTAAGATAAAGATTTATCGGGAGCGTAAAACCTTATCGGGTGAAAAAGAAGAGGTGCCGCCGCTGCCAACAATTTGGTCACCTAGCCTGGTCGTGCAAGGAACGGGTTAAATGCGGATACTGCGCAAGGGAGCACGACTAGCGTTGCTGCTTTCCAGGAATAAGGCCGAGATGCTCAGGCTGCAATAGAGAATACCCGACAGGCGACCGGGCATGCCAGGCATACCCCAACCTTAGCCCATCCCAATGACAGCAAACCTTCGCATCTTACAGCTGAACACTATAAAATCTAGGCTAGGGATGGAGGCCCTTATTAACGATCATTAAAGCTAAAATCTAGACCTGCTTCTGATTCAGGAATCACTAAAGACAGCATACTACACCCATGTTAACTACAGCGCATGGCGACTCTACCGATCTATACGTCGTGAAATACCTCGGTTCCGCAGCCTCCTCTATGTTAACCGGAGGATCTCTACATCATCATACCGCCAAATCCAGTGTGGTCACCCGGATGTGGTGACCATCAAGATCTGGACCCTAGAGCTCCAGTATCTAGTGTTCTAGATCTATATTCAGCCAATCGCGTTGCATGATACAGTTGAAACGAGCAGCGCACGCGAAATTCTAGCAGAAATTTAGCGAACTATCCAAGATCAAACTGAGCAAGACAACCGCGCGACGAAAATTATCTTGGCCAGAGATTTTAACCGCTATTACCCGGCATGGAGCTACCGTACGGTACACTACCGCTTCGCAAAACATGCGGACGAACTAATCAATTTCTTTCAAAACTACGAGCTGCAATGGTGCCTACCCCCAGGCGAGATAACATTTTGGTCTCTGAACAAATCTAGGACCACATCGGTACTCGATCTCACACTTATAAATGACATAATACGGCTGATCAAATGCTAACTTTACTATAACCCCTACGGGTCCGACTACCGGGGTACGTACTCGGAATGGAGCCTCCAACCAGAGCAGACTAGGAAACCCAAGCCGAGAAGAGCGTATGACTGAGCAGACTGGGCTCATGTAGGCTAAACGATAATGAGATCGATTGACCTACGTCCGAGGATTTAATCCAAGCAGGATCTAGACCAAACAGTCGACTATCTGATTCAAACCACAATAATTGCGCTAGACCAGCATGTGCCGGTGCAGGATCCGTGCCCGTACTCGAAACGCTGGTTTACTGCCGATCTCAAGACCTAACAAGCGGAAGTCAACCAAACCCGCCGGAGGTAACAAGACGGCTGTGTTACCCTAAGACCCAACCACCCAACTACCAAGAAGATGTTTGTAGAAATGCGCGAGAAAAGGCGAAAATAGACGAGGGCAATTGAAAAGGCAAAAATATGCTACTGGAGGGAGTTTCTTGACAAAGCAGGTAAAGATTATCTGTAGAAAGCAGCTACATATATGCGCCCCCGAGACACTTACACAAGCATCCTAGCGATTAAAATAGGCACAGAGGAGGTAGCTGACAACCAAATAAAAGTAAAAACGTTCCTTGACTCTTTCTATCCAAAGATAGCAGAACCCAAAGTGAAAGCAGAGATTAACCCAACAGAAGAACTGCCGTAAGAGCCGATTACCGAACAAGAGATTTACCGATCCTTCCGAGTCGCTAAGGGAATTACGGCCCCTGGTAGAGATAGAATTCCTACACTTATATGGAAACACCTGTGGGCTCATCTAAAAGAAACTATCACCACTATCTTCACAAAGTCAGTGGACCTGGGCTACTATCCCAGACAATGGAAACAGGCGCGGATCGTTGCCGGTAAAGCCAGACTATTCAGCGCCGGGAGCATACTGACCGATATCACTACTGAATACGCTGGGGAAACTACTAGAAGCCGTTATGGCCTGACGACTGTCCTATTGGGCGGAGAAATATAAACTCCTTCCAGACACACAATTTGGAGGCAGACCAGGACGGAACACTGAGCAAGCCCTGCTGGTACTTGCTAACGCAGTAGATCGAGCCTGGGTGCGATCCAGGGTAGTAACACTAATCGCGTTTAATTTAAAAGGCGCATTCAATGGGGTCCACCGAATCAACCTCGACGCCCGACTGCGAGCTAAAGGCATCCCATCAAAGGCCTGACAGTGGATCTGTAGCTTCATGAAAGACCGACAAGCTAGTGTTACATTTGATAACTTTGAAACAGAAAACTTACCCCTGGAAAATGCTGGCTTGGCACAAGGATCGCCACTCTCACCAATTCTGTTTGGTTTCTATAATTCTGTTCTGGTAGATCAACCGGTCGACAGTAACGGTAGCGCATCGGCCTATATCGACGACTATTTCCGCTGGCGAACTAGCCGAACAGCTGAAGAGAACATCAAGAAGATCCAGGAAGAAGATATTCCCCGAGTTCAAGCTTGGGCACGGCAAATAGGCGCATCCTTCGCTGCCGAAAAGACTGAATTGATACATCTTACCCGGCGGAAAACAGCCTACGGAAAAGGGCAGATCGTTATAAACAGCCAGGTTACCAAACCGGCCGATACCGCCAAGCTTCAGCGTATGAATACACACACACACACACACCTACACTGTATCATACAAGCCGGGCCAAACCCACCCATTTTCTCCTTTACTGTCTCGCGAGAGGGCCCACGTCAGAAAAGGCACCTACGCTCGGTGGGAAAAGGAGTGGAAGGAGTCTCGGAACGGCGGTCACCTTCGAAAGATCGACAAGACACTACCGGCCAAGTATACGAGACGGCTCTACGGGACCCTGCCTCGTAACCGGGCGTACTTGCTAACGCAGTTGCGGACGGGACACAGCTGGCTATCAACATATGCCAAGACGTTCCGCTTTCGAGATGAAGACCAGTGCGTATGCGGCGAGCGGGAAAGTGTGCGATACTAAAACCTAGATGTATTCATCTCACATCAAACCCTTCCTATTCCAAGTTGCTACCCCCGCCGAACGGTAAACTTAGGCCTGGCATCGAGGTAAACTACTTGTTGGAACAATATTGTCAACCAGAGCAGAGAGGTGGAGTATCCTGACCTAATCCACATACCGCACAGCACCTTGCTTGGCCTAGACTTGGCCTACCATTCCAAATGACATACCAATGGATCAGGAATGCATAGGTGTAAACAAGTGGAACTATAAATGGCTAGGCAGATTGTAGTTTAGAAATGACACTTCACTTTTACCCACCGAGCATATACCTACATTCAGTTGAATCGATAGGGTATCTGCTTAGGGCAATGACCAAGTCAACCGACACTACCCTTATTGAACTCGGCACTTTTGACGGCTGTACACTATCTCAAAATTCGATACAATGGCTTGGATTTTGGGGTGCGGACAAAATCGTATCTAACCAAGATAACTAACTGATACAGAGTCCTTGGTGGAACCGACAGGCGTAACAATATGATCAGTCATTCAGCTGAAGTGGCAAAGCTATATAGTAGTGGGTCAAGCAAGCGACTTATATGATCCATAATTCAGCTGCTTATCGGAGTACTCCGTACAGAGTATGTACTATGTTAGGGTGCGAAAAGATCGTGTGGACCCCTGTGGGTGTGCCCTTTGTACATCATTTCCATCTACGAACCTTGCCAGCTGTATACAAATATAATAGGACCACCCTTGCCACAGTAGTTCCGATGGTTCCACTCACGATCTTTAAGCGAACTGCTCCACAGAGATAAACACGATTTTCGCAGCCCGTCTTAGTAACATGTTGTGGATTAGTCGAAATTAAGATACCAATAGGTACTGAATTGGAGGCATTCACTGCTTTTTTTATACTCTCTAATTCCCTTTGGCAGAGTTAGCAGCAAACTCAGCAAGTGGGAGCCATTCGGACCAGTCGTCTTGCAGGTATGACACATAAGCGCGTAATTATTGTTCTAGGATAGTGTTAACTCTCTCAGTTTGGCCGTTAGTCTGTAGGTGATAAGCAGTTGATAGTAGCTTGGTGATCCTCATGATTCGGGTTAGGTACTTCCAGAACCAGGCATAACTGTACTATACAATTAAATCTCGAAGAAAATTCATATAAAAGACTATGTAGTGGTGTATCAGCTAGTGATATTAGACTTGTGTGGTAGATGCCGCGACAACAGCGGTGGTTGTGGTTATGGTCAAAGTTGTAGCACAGCCGATCTCGCTAAAAGTAGAAGACACAGTGATGGTTGTGTGGACAGTGACAATATTGGTGGCTGCGCAAGTCTTTTCAGTGGTATCAGACATAGTTCTAGTAGGTCTAGAGGCCAAGTCATCACTAGACACCGCCTGAGTGGGCTTTAACTTTCTGAACCGTGTATTGGATTTCGATTTCACAGTTTGTGTCGGTTGACTTGGTCATTGCCCTAAGCAGATACCCTATCGATTCAACTGAATGTAGGTATATGCTCGGTGGGTAAAAGTGAAGTGTCATTTCTAAACTACAATCTGCCTAGCCATTTATAGTTCCACTTGTTTACACCTATGCATTCCTGATCCATTGGTATGTCATTTGGAATGGTAGGCCAAGTCTAGGCCAAGCAAGGTGCTGTGCGGTATGTGGATTAGGTCAGGATACTCCACCTCTCTGCTCTGGTTGACAATATTGTTCCAACAGTTTGCCTTTGGACTTTTCGGTAGCTATCAGCTAAAACTCCGAACTACCAACATGATTGACCAGAGAAATGAGGTCATTGAATGGCAGGATAGTTGCTGGTGAAACAGCACCATTGATTCCAAGTTTTCTATCAAAGACATCTGCAAGATCACAGTGTAAATAGTGTGTCATAATGGCCTCCCAATGGGCTGATACGGGTATATCTTTGTCTAATCTCAAGAAGGCATTTAAAACTCCAGGGGTCCTTGGTTTTACAGCCTGTACCAATCGGTCGTATTCAAAGATCTCTTGGGCGTGGGGTCCTATCAATGTGCTTATACCTTCCGCACACTTAGAATACAGCTAATATTTTTGCCTAGCTCGTCGATGGTTTTGTTGACACAGATACCTTCGACATAGTAGTGGCCCCGGTCGTGACTCAAGTCTATCTCGGGATTATTTCAGGAAACTTAAAGGATGGCGTTAGTGTCTGATTCAATCTATCTGGCCCGCATGGTGACCTTCGATTTTTCCTCAAAAATGGGCGTGAGGCCTGGCTAGCAATTAACATGGCCAGACAATTCGGTGGCTCTTACAATACGGAAGAGAAGATCAAAATCAAAAGATATTCCAGCAAAATCTCCGCGTGTTGAAGATTCGCTTGATCTTCAGATAGACAACTCAATCGATATTACATGAACAAAGGGAGAGCAGGATGACTGTGGATTCGGGCTCTCCGGTATAGCCCGATGGCTCGGGACTTAGCGGAATAGTCTTAAGTGAAATAACTTTTTACAGAGACTCGGGGCATGCAAGGGTATAAGGAAATGCACGGGCCTACGCTTTTGGTGGAGAAAAAATCGCCAATCTCTTGAGTCATACCATCCATCAATTTCGAGCAATTTTCCTACAAACGAACACTCAAACACTCACAGTTCTACCACCTGCTTTCTTTTTGCTAACGTTGAGCGTAGCTTGAATCGCCACATCGATGGTGAAAATCTTATAGAAGCGATATATCTGTTTTTTTTTTTTTTTTTTTTTTTCACCATTTGACACAGCGTTGCAGTTAAGTAATTCGTGCATTGAGCAACTTCCAAACGAAGCCAGGCATAGCAAAGCAGAAGGTGGAACTCACCATAGGATAGGTCGCAAGTGTGAAAAATCCTTTGTGTGGTCTCTTCAAGAACGTAGCCGCATCATACTCCTGGGACAAAGGAGGTCCCTCCCAGGAGCGAAAAGGCATGGGGAAGATCTATGCAGAACTTCCGTCTCCTGGATACGAAAGTGCCCTGGGAGTTACGCTGTGGCTCCTAGGGGCTAGTGGCAGCATTTCGAGGACAACACCTCCATTAATATCTCGCCAAAGGCAGACGATTGGACTGACTTCGAAATGGGGGCTGCGGATGCTGTGCCAGTCAAGGCCAAGGAAGAGCGCGCAATGGATACGATAGACCTTGGCGGGGAGTCGGTGTATGTATGATGTGGATCTCCTTGCAATCTCGCAGGCGTATCAAACATATCCCGGTGGACAGAGTTATCCTTTGCAGGTTGGAGTCTTGTCCCTTGGCTGCCCGGAGTTCAATCAAACTTTCACCCGAGGCGATGGTGTTAGTATCAATGCAACGTTCATCAACAGTCAGATTTTCACCGCCGATATGGCTTCCTCGTATTCGTTCGGTATACACATTGGCTCCGCACCACTGCGGATTCCGGGCTCATTGATGCTGGGGGGGCTATGATGGGAATCGAATTGTCGGGAACACGTCTGCTCAGCGATACTCCGGGGGCAAATTACCAATCAAACTTCTCGATATTGGGATTTGCGAGGCCAGCGGTGGCTCACCATGGAACTATTTCAATAAAACAGGTCTTCTAGAGAATGGTAATTCTTCCTTACATCAGGGGACTACGGTGGAGGCTAGTCCCGGGGATCCATATATCTATCTCCCCAAGAGTTCCTGTGATGCAATTACTTCGGAGCTCCCAACTACATACGACTCGGACCTTGTATTATACCTCTGGAACACCTTCGACCCTCGATATGCACAAATAATCAGCTCACCCTCTTATCTGAGCTTCGAATTCAACAAAGATAGCCTGAACAGTGCCAACATTACAATCAAGGTCCCATTTGCGTTGTTGAATCTAACTCTCGAAGCACCTCTTGTTAAGAGCCCAAAGCTTTATTTTCCCTGCATGGGGACTGACAGTACACCGGCTCTGGGTCGCACTTTCCTTCAGGCTGCTTTTATGGCCGCGAATTGGAGTTGGGGTGGCCGCATTGGGAATTGGATTCTCGCACAGGCACCGGGCCCGAATTATCTCACGACCAACAAATTAACCAATATCATGGAAAAGGACATGACAATTCCCGGGACAACAAATAGCTGGGAAGAAACTTGGGCCAACTATTGGACTCCGATCCCCATAACCTCGAGCTCTGCTACCCCTATTCCAACGCCATCTGTGGAAAGTGACGCGAGTAACGACAATGGTACTTCCACCGGGGCTGTGGTCGGGATTGCAGTTGGCTGTGCGGCAGTCGGCGTGTTCCTGGGTGTACTGGCATGGTTGTTCATCACGAGGCGCCAGCGGCGCAATGCGATGGAAGAGCTAAACCAAATGGCAGAGCTGTACCCAGGGATCCGTGCCAAAGATGGAGGAGTGTACGAACTGAACGCACGCCGGGGACCCTACGAACTAGGAATCCGCCATCCTCCCTGCGAGCTAGCCGGGCCTGATCATTGATATCGGCAGAAGCGTAGCACCTACAATCTATGAGTGAGATGATCAGTCCCCCAGGATGGATAAGTCAAGACACCGTGATATGGTGCTTAAGAGTTGACCTTTACCAGGGTGCAGGGTGGGCTCCTGATGTAATTGTAGCCGCTGGTGGCTTTTTATTGGGGGTTAGTGGGTAATAAATTTCGTGTACATACATACTAGCACAATCATATGACTCAATTAAAGATATAGCCCTCCATGACCAACATACGATGACCTGGTGCCCAGCCGTCAGCAGCGGTCAAGTCGTGTAGAGTTACTGAGAGGCGAGTAATTTCCCACATTCAGAGAAGTGACTACACAGAATGTGTTCCTGAATGACACAAATAGCTGGCGGCCTAAGGTACACTACTGGACACTCACAACTAGTTATCGTTGATGACGAAGCGAGATAGAATTAACCAATGTGATACGAATGACACCTCCAAGCCAGCCCCAAACTATAAGAGGAATCTGCATATAGCCAATGTCGAAGGAATATCAAATCGCCTATGGTATTAACGACATCAAAAAACACCGGGGGTATCAAGTAGATCAAGAAGTGCAGGGGGAACTGGTCGGTACAAAAGTATTTTGTGGATACCCAAAGAAACGTTGCCAACAAAACTGCCGGAGGTGCATATCAAGAGCCTGGATATTTCCTCCCGATGTAGCAGACTGGAGTCCCTTGTAGCATGCCTTGCAAATGCTCGGACACTAATTATAGCATATTGCAGTCAAGCCCGTAGCTACTGTTGCCACAAATTCATGACCAGATCTTGTACAAGTTGGACAGTCGTTCGGCAATAGCAATCTTGAGACCTCCTGAGCCCCATCTCAATATGCGGGACATTCTGGACACAACCTCGAGAGAACCAGCCTCGCTTGTTGTTCGCCAAATCCCCATATTCGTCATACAATACCCCTTCTTGGTTGGGTCCCAGAAATGGGCCCATATCTCGCAGACGGGACCTTCCGTAGTCATGGAAAACGCCAGTAATGGAAGGTCAACGGTGGAATGTGCCTCTTTCCCACCATGTCGTTTGGGGTATTCCAGCTCATAGAGCTCGTTAATGCCCCTCAGGATGTTAATCGCAGAGGCCCCGCTCACGGCGGACTGATTCTGTGCTTGATACAGATTGCCACCGGCTGCGCCTGATTTCGTTTCGATGACAAAGAAAGGAAAGCGTAAGTGCAACCGGGTCAGACCGGGGTCGCTGATGAGAGCTTCCGTGTCTTGGAGGTCATTAAGGAAGAATCGCGCATTGTCGCCTCGCGCAGGGCGTAGTACCGATGCGAGAGATGCATCAGTAATTCCCACCGACACATCGGGTCTAGGGGTCCTGAGAGAGAACGTGCTCCCTAGATGTTGTCCCGAAGATGAAGGCGGAGCAGATTCGCCCCAGACAGAGAGGACAGTGTCGGCAGGCTGGTGAACTTCGGGCGTAACATCACCACGCCAGTCTTGTAGCAGATAGTTAGTTTAATGTCGAATCAATGGCAATCGAATGCATGGCTCACCTCTATTTCGTACTGACAAGAGATCAGTGGATTTTAGACCCTTGATCGCGTCGTGGAAAATCTCTGTCCATTCGGCTTTGCCCGCTTGCAAAGCGGCCAGCTCCACCGACTCGCGCTGAATCTTTGATGCCAGGTCCTTTATCTCCATAGACAAAGGTTCCGACACATCTAGCACACTACCAACTAAGTCTCGGACAGTTCTCGGCATCTCCGCGTCAACGAAGATACTGGCGCGAAACAACGTGCTAGTGCGATATGTCGAGTCATTCTGTTTGGAGAAGCCCCTTTGTTTCTGCGGGGACGGCGACGGCGATCTCGTACTCGACAATGAAGATATTGATAATGGAATATTGGGCACATTGCCCGGAAGTCTTGTAGCATTCCTAGCGGCGGACGGACTCCACGGGGCCCCCTGTCCGCGGTACCTTGCCTCGGGGCCCGAGAACAGGTTACTCTTCGGGCCCCTTGTCTCTAGTTCTAAGAGAGAGAGATTTTCCTGTATCAACGGTAGAGGAACAGTGTCCCGCTCAGGAACTTGTTGTTTTGCAGGATGTGAGTCCGATCCTAGCGGTTCTTGATCGGCTTTGCGTTTCATCCTGAGCGCGGCTAGGCGATAGCTGTAGCGCTAGAAATGTCGGTCTTACGATGAGGAATTATCATTGCCACATTTCGAGAAGTCCCTTGATATTCTCAAACAAAGTAGAACGTCATGTTTCAAATCACTTTTCGCAATCAAAGAACTCCTGAAACACGTGAAGGCGCCCGATCTTTCATCCTGTCGGAACATGGGTTCTTCCCCTGTCCTTGGGTGCCGGGCCGCACAGCCTTAGTCAGCATCTCATTAGTATTTAGCCTGGCTTCCGGTGTGCATCCGCACCCCTGAATCCCGCCGGTCACATGGTCAGTACGCCGGAGTGCAGAGGCCACAAGTGCTGCTTCACCAGGTGTCAATATCACGTGCTCAGGCACCGACCTAAGGAATGTTGATGCTAGCTTTATAAGGTAGCAACTCAATAGAGGCAAGGGACTCTTGTCAATTCAACTCAGTTCGGTTAATTCTAGTGTTTTTGAGCGCTCGAGCTGAGCTAGTAAGTCACACCATCCCGGAATGCTCATGGTCTAATTTCCTTCCCAGCCTTGTCCTGCGCCGCCGCCATCAAGGGCTAAGATCATGTAGGATAGACGCCGGCTCTCAACGGCGCAGCCAGTGGTGGGTCATGATGTGTCTGGGCATGCATTGGAATCACCAATGATCGCACGTAGATTAATGGAGCCCATCTAATAGACCCACCTTTAATTTCAGGCACAGTCGCAATATCAAGCTGGGTTGACGGTTCGTGAGGGGTTAGTTAGATGACCAGGCCATGAGGGACACTGCCCCAAGCCCCCAATTAAACCATGCTTCTAGTTGTACTTTCAATGAAATGAATACAGAGTAGAATAGAATCCGATTTTAAACGTACACTCTGTAGGGATCTGAATATTGGGTTTCTATGCTCATGGACACCGTTTCAGGAAGGCCTGCTCATCGATGGATATGTGCTCGGGAAAGATGTGATTTTGTGACGTGAAGTCATAGAGTGTTCTGGGTTGGATATTCGGATCCGAAGCCAGCAACTGTATTAGATCTAGCTAAAATAAGGACCAATACAATCACACAAAATCAAGACCATCGGCGCAGGGCTAACGAAGGGTATTGACCCGTGAACCCTGTCATACATTATTCCTTACGTGTGGCCGAGTGTGGTAGACCTAACCGCCCAGATTACAAGGGCTCAGGACCTCAAGAACCCTGTAGGGCCCAAAAAAGGTTGACGTTGGAGTCTGGGACATATAGCTGGCGCATATGGCAGGAAAAATCTAACGAGGCACAAAATTTGAAGGACGTCTGGCTTTTCTCGAGCCCCGCAGCCTGATAGAGCGCAGGGCCATTGGTGCTGTCACATTGCTAACCGTAGATAATGTACAGGGACGGGGTTCTTGGCGACGGCGTAGTTCCGGCCCAGCAAGGCTATGATCAGCCCAATACTAAGGCCCACAGAAAGTCCTAGGGATGAGCCCGATAATCCTGGTGAGCTGTCTTAGATTTTCGGTTCTATTTGTGGGATAGAAAAAGTTTCTAAGTCATGTTTTCCAGAGGTTATCTCTGAGACCTACATAAATCGGTCGATTAGCCAAGGCACAGTCGCAATAAATAGGACTTCTAACAATTGAAAAAGATCAGGAACCAGCCTTTTATTTCATTTATATAGAACACCGAAAGATCCACCCATAAATCAGGTCATCGTAAACTTCGGAACCTCCGCCGATGCATCCTCAAAGACAGCGTCCCAATGGTTCTGAACACCCTCACAAAGTCCCGACTTCGACTTCCAAGCATCAAAAGCATGCTCCAAACTACAAGTAACCTTCTTCACCTCCTGCCATAACGTCCTCTCGGCATCGTATCCAAGACGTTCCAGCGTCTCCTTCGAACTCGTCCACAACCGACTCGGATCCCCATCTTTAGTCCGTGACTTCTCACTCGCCAACAACGCAGCAGCATTAAATTTGGGATTATAGGAATGAATGAAAAAGCCACGGGCAGGCTTTGCCACAGACGGGTCTCTCACCCGCCACTTACCGCGCTGCGTAAGCGCATAATCTTCCCTTGGATCAGCCTGCAACATAGCAGCGCCGATGATGCCCCGATTCCAGCGATCAGGATGACCGAGGTCTGCAACAGTCTCGCTGACGGTATGGTATTTGGCGCCAAGCGCAGTGGCTGCATGGAGGAACGTGTCCTTGTCGCCTTCTCCGGGGGCGCCTTGGTCGAGAAGGGGGTAGTAATAGGAGGGACCGTGGTAGTTGTAGTAGGCGGCCAAGATGAGGGTCATGTAGTGGGTCTTTTTCGAGACGAGGACTACACCTGCTTCTGTCGCTTGGCGGGCGTTGTTGGGGGGTTCAGGTTGACGAGATATGTTAAAGTAGAGGGGGGAGGCGGTGTTCTTCCAGAAATCAGGCCAAGTGAGGAGGCCAGACGAGGAGAAAGGTTCGCAGTCGAGAAGTCGAGCTGGGTCATCTAGAAGGAGAATATCGGCGTCTATCCAGATGACTCTCTCAAACGAAGAAAACAAGATGGCGAACGACTTGATTTGATATCCCTCTATTGGATAGCTGGAATCACCGCTGTCCAGACTGGACAATACTACTGACAAGACAACGCATTTGGCATTTAGTGGTGGTAGTACAATCTCGCAGATATACGGCTCGTACTCCGTCCAATCCTTCAAAAACAGCTCCACGGGAAGTTTTGATCCCGTCCGTCGGAGCAGGTGCAGTGACACCAGAAACGTGGGCAGGTATTTTCCTCCCGCTGCAGACACGATCCCTTTAGTTCGGGGATGGTATGCGCGAATGGCCTTGAGCGGTTGCATGTCGCGCACGAACCCGTCATGCGCTGCCCGCAGCGGCTGTTGAAGCTCGTCTGAGTTCACTATAAGGTCTATTCGAGGCGACTCGTCGTTTGCATCAAATCTAGGTATTCCTGCGGTGCGGCCGAGTAAATTCGGAGACGGGCACTGCGGCTCATGTTTCTCGAGCAAGGCGTGCAGGTTTTGCCAGAGGTTATCCTGAGAGACGGGAAGTGGAGCTTGAGCAATAGGGTTCAGCCATAATATATGGACAGTAAAGAGAAGAACGATTCCTAGTGATGGTAGTAGAAACCTCTGGCAAGAGCGATGTTGAGATTGTTTCCACATGTTGTGACTTGAAGGAAGACAGACTTTGGGGATTTCAGAACCAAAAAAAGTGGAAAGAGGTCCGCTACATATGAGCATATTGCTCTTACCGGGGTCGACAAGGGAACCGCTTTCCCAATAATCGATCAATTAGAGCTATACAAGAGATACATGGATCGACCACTATAGTTAAATTTCCATTGGCAGAGAGAGGGGCTGTAACCGCTGTAACTTGCATGTTGGGGGGCAGCGCTGGGTGAGGTCCTGACTCTAGCGCTTCGCTGGGGCTTGGGTCTTTCGTTAGTTCTATTTTTCCCGCTCTTGTTTGATTGGCTATTGGGCCCGTTCGAGTATCTGGGCGATTATCTGTCATGTGTACGACAAAAATTGGTCCATCAATCCGGCCGAGCCGCAGGGGGCATTGCTCCCGTCTACTACGCCGTATGTACCTCGGACACAGGGCGCAGCCAAAGCCTCTCTGGCTGGGTGCTGCCATCCATGCAGTTGAGATACTATATGTAAGGGCGTTTATTCTCCTGGCGGCGTCACAGCGTGCAGGCCTTGGCAGCGGAATGTCTTCGAGCACGCAAATGGTAGCAAAAGCTGCTCGAAAACCATTGGCCTCCTACTGAATCCTTCGATGATTGATAAACGTGGTCCTTAAGCTTGAACTTGAACTTTGTTCCCGCTTTAATCTAGGTCAATGGCCACTTCAGTAGTATATTATACTGGAGCCCTTGAACACAACCCTTTGTTTTTGGTTCCCTCCACATACAGCGATACACCGTAAACCCTACAACCAACATAGTTAATGATCGGCACTGGTAGGAGTACCCCTCTCCAGCCGGCTAACCGCCACTGAAATTAAAAATACCCAAGCGTCTTGGCAATCTCCAGGGCCGGAATCCTTTGACCGATGCGCAGTCACCTTACAGATTTAGCGTGAACTCGGGCGTTTGGCCTGCTCACACGGCTGTGCGACCCGCGGAACGTGCCGCCGGACCAGTAATTACGGCGTAGACACTGCGGCCTTAATTTTCGTTGCCCAGTTAACTAAAGGGGACTGGTTGACATATCCGGCCGGGGAGAGAAGCCTAGCAAGGCGGTTGAGGTCGACGTAAAAATAGAATTTATAAAAGTTATGCAACATGGAAGCGCCGTGCTTGGAGAACCTGTATATAAATAGAATTGCGGTTATGGGTGTGCTTGGGGTAGGCGACAGCAAATGTGATGTGATGAGGATCAATGGATGCCAAGAGACTGCATATCAAATTTCATGGATTCTCTTTTGGTCTAGACGGGTAACAAGCAGCCTCACGCTTAGTAAAAAGGTAAAACGAAATTAGAAGGGAGATATTAACTAGGATATATTTTCATTTCATGGCTGAAACACGGCGACGTTCAAAGTTCGAGTTAGACCTACTTGTCAGAAAGTATATAATCACGATGATCTGTGAAACACAGGAACCAGGGGCATCAAGGATTAGAGCAACTGGTTCATTGTTCTGCAATTTTACCCCCCTCCCTCTCTAGTTCATAGTTTCTGTGTTCCAATAAAATCTTCGAAGTCGTTGAGGACCGAATCCCCGAAGCAATCTGCTAAGGTTATGCGTTTTCCGACTGCTGCAGCGCCGGGCAAGACATTTGCCGTTTAAATAAATGATTTAATATTCTCGATGAGTTGAATTGAATAACGTTAATGTCTCAATATATGTTACCTGATTTGTACACCAACACAACATAAGAGGCGCCTTTTGCGAGTTAGTCCATTTCATCGGGCATTTGAAGAAGGTATTCTGTGGTATTGTGTACTGAATGAAATGTACTTCGTACGCAACGGAGTTAGGAAAAATATTAAAATTACCTATGAAAAGTCAAGGAGTGATGCAAGGGGCATTCACACAGGGATCTGGAATGATTGACTGGATGCCTTAGGCATTAAAGCACCAAGGGGGCCGGGCTATGGCATGTCAGGGATGTAAGAAGTGTTGCAAGGCGAGAAGAGCTCGTGCGAAGAATAAACAGATGCGCAATACTCTTTCTAAAGAAGTTGAGAGGTCAGCTCTGTAAATCAATTTTGTATACATCATATATCTTAAGTTATCGCGGGAAGGGCCGAAAGTATTATCAACTGCCTTTCAAAGGACTTCGGAGGCGGGCGAAAGCTACTGGGCATACAAGGTGAAAAAGACGTCTTAGAATATGCAAAGAGATCAAATTTAATCATGGAGAAACTATAGATAAACAACATGGTATCCATCGAGAAATCAACATAACCTCTTCAAACATTGAATTGACGCTCACTGCGCTTCCTCTCAATCAATGCCGCCATACCCCTTAGATCCGTTGACTGTCCCAGTTGGGAAAGAGGAACCTTGACCCCAATCACGCGGTTGATAGTATACTGCAGGTGAACCAAAAGAAAAGAGTTTCCTCCTACAGCCAGGAAGGAGGAGTGTGCATCAATATTGGCCGTATCTGCGACTACTCCAATGACGTCGATCCAAAGCGCGCGAAGCCTCTCTTCCATTAGGGTCAGTTTTTCTCCATTGAGGGCAGGGACTTGTGCTTGCGTTTGCGCCGATGAAACCTCAGGCGTTGGGAGAGGCAAGCTCCTCAGAAGCTCCAGATCTAACTTTCCGTTTGGCACCAGTGGTAGACGATCCAGCACCACAATAGTGGCTGGAATCATGTACCGGGGTAGGGGAAGAGTTTGTAGAAGATCCATGAGTTGTTGATGCTCCAGGTGCTTTCCGGGCTTGAAAGCCACATGGCACACAAGGAATTGTGGGTCGCCGCGGACCGTGACAGCTACGTCTGCTAAGTAGTCGAGTGCTGCCTCGAGAATCGCACCAGTCACCTCGTTCAGGTCGATTCGCAAACCACGAAGTTTAATGACCGTACTTCCGCGTTGAGTTCGCCCGAGGAAGATGATAGATCCGTCTTCATGAAGAAATCCCCTGTCTCCGGTCTTATACATGGCTGTACACCCGTGCTTGGAATCCTGGGGAGTAGCGAATGGGTTGTCGACAAACACGCCCTCGTTCAACTTCGAGTCAAGATAACCGTTGGCTACCATGCTGCCGGCGACGCTAATCTCACCTGGCATGCCTATAGGAAGCAAGCTTCCATCATCTGCACTGGTGATGTAAATCGAGTTGTTCGGGACGGTATGTCCAATGTTGGAGCCCATCTTGTCATTGCCTTGACCACGACTGTCATTAACACCATCATAGAAGGGGATATCTTGGCTCGTAGCAACAGTAACTTCGGTAGGTCCGTACCAGTTGCTCAGCATCAGATGGGGTAACTTTAAGTCGCGTAGACCTTCAATGACTCGGCCAGTGAGAATCTCTCCGCCCGCTCCGGCAAAGCGCCAATCAGTGCATTGTCGTAGACGATCTGGAGCATACGTGAGAAGAAGGTTGTATTCTGACGGAGTGCACATTGTAAACTCAACCCTCTCATCAAGAATGAGCCTGGAAAGCATGTCTGGGTCTCCTCGGCTCTCAAATGGAGCGACAACAAGGGTTCCTCCATTGGTGAAGGCGCTGTAGATTTGAGAAAACGATACATCGAATCCAATGGATGTTTGCTGCAATACCCTAATCTGTCGAAAGCCGCATCGTTCGCGCAAAATAGCAGCGAGATTCATGATGCCCCTCTGATGAAGCTTGATACCTTTAGGTACGCCAGTAGAGCCACTTGTGAAGAGAATATGGCTGTCAGACCCGGGATCAGAAGGAGCTTGCTCGAGGAGCGTAATGGTACCCCGTCGGTGGACACGGGCTAACTGAGTTATGTTGAGAGGCTTGATCTCGCTGCCTGGATTCAGATGGTTTTCCGCCACATCTTTGGCAGTAGCGGCGTGAAAGACCAACCCATAGGGCTTGCATGCTTTCATCATCTCATTTCGTCGGGCGGCGGGAACACTTATGTCCAGAGGAACAAAGACAGCCCTGATTCGGAAGACGGCCAGCATTGTCGCATAAAGGTCAATACTGGGTTTGCAGAAAACTGCAACTCGAGTTTGAGCTTTGACCTTCGCTTCCAGCAAAATACTGGCATAAAGCTCAACCTTTTCTCTCAGTTCTCTGTATGTGATCGCCTCGATCCCATCCTTGATTGCAACCGAATGTGGAAACTCAGCAGCGACCTGCTCAAATCTCTCAGGCAATGTGACCGGCCAGGAGCGATTGATGGCAGATGTGCGCGCAATAGTTCTCGCTTGGTCTAGTTGAGCATCACTGAACAGTGCGCAGTCCTTCACAGCAGTCAGGGGCTTTTGAACCAGACCGCCAAGAACACCAACAAATGTATCCAAGATAAGCTGCGTGGCTGACTGAGGGTAAAAATCATCGGTGCAGGTAATGCCAATAGCATGACCGCCTGAGGCTGATCGTCGCACGTCCAGGACAAAGTCGTACACGGTTGTGAAATCCGCTTCCTCCACTGCAATTGTACAGTCTCCTAGAGTGCTCGGGAGGCTGCCATCGACCGTGTAGTTATAAGCTACCTGAATAAGCGGCATGTTCCCTTCGCTCACCCCAGGTCGCACCTTTTCCACAATGAGAGCAAACGGAATATTTGCGTGGTTGAGGCTTTCCAGCAAGCTTTCGCGGGAGCTTGTCATGAGCTGGGGGAAAGTCTTATCCAATACCCCCTTGAATGGAATCGGCAAGATTGAGGCTAGATGGCCGACCGTTTCTCTAAACTCGCTTATGGCGTCACGACCGGTGTGTAAAACCCCAATGACCATGTCATTGATGTTCAACAAGCGGGAGAGAAAGACTTGCATGGCAGCAAGGTAGAATTGCATTGGAGCGACACCGTGAGCTTGACCGATCCTGGTAATGGTTTCCACGAAGTCGCTGCTCAGCTCCCTGGAGCTGTAGTGGTGACCGTATGCCCGACTGTTCTGTCTGGTTTGGACCTTTGCGACGGGCAATAATGGGAGAGCTTCTGGCATTGGGTCAAGATGTTTGATCCAGTACAGAATATCCTCATCAAAACGTCCCGCCTGCACGTCTTCTATCTGCTGATGGGTATAGTCGAGGTATGAGGTAGGCGTAGGATACCGAGACCACGGTTGAGATTTATAGATGTGAGCAATGTCACTCAAGATAAGTGAGATGCTAACAACATCAATAATGAGGTTGTGGAATCCTATGACCAAGGTATACCATTGTGCGTCATGTCGTACCAGGGTAGCCTGAAGTGTCTCCCCAGCCTCGAGGTCATACTCATGCTGCTTGAATCCGTCGAAAGCTGCCTGCACATCAGCATCGGCCGTTTTCGTGCTTGATTGCACCCGAGTAAGCGAAAATTCCCTGGTGCTAGTAACGTGCTGCTGAATCTCCGAGTTGTTGGAGGTTGCAAAGAAACAAGTACGCAGTGCCTCATGGCGATTCACAGTCTGCTGAAAAGCTCGATTGAGCCGCTCAACATCCAAGGGGCCATCGATTCTCCACCTTGTCGTGAGGTTGAGTGCTGTTCTGGTATCGGAGAACTTGTCGATATAGAACAGACCAGCTTGTGCAATGGACAGACGCTCTGATCGGATAATCTCTAGCCTAGGCTCCGGGGTTGGAGTGGAGATTGGTGATGAGCCAGGGGTAGTCTTGGATGACGACTGCGATGTCTTACTGTCACCAGAACTCCGAATGTTACGAATCTCTTCAGGCACGCGGCCCAGATCGTTGGTCGTGGCCTCCGTCGCTATTTTTGCTGACGTGCCATTCACTTGAGTGTTCGCTGGCTGTGGTCTTTCCTCGCTAGCTGCGGTATGCTGATTAGGAATTTTGGGTGGGGCTCCAGGTCTCTTCTCCAAGTATTGCGTGGCAATAGTCCGAATGATCGCAGCAGAAGGGTCTCGACCTAGAAGTTTCACCATGGAGATTTCGACTCTAAATCTCTCCCACAGCCACTTTCGGATCTCGATAGCGTTGATCGAATCAATTCCGAGACGCGAGAATGGTTCATCTGGATGAATTGAGTCCAAAGAGATGTGGATCATGGACTGAATCTTCTGGGATAGAAGCTCGTTGATCAAGGGGGCTGCCTCATCAACCGTGTTTGCAGTCTCCAACTCTGATTGCGGGCTTCCAGAAGAGGGTTCATCACCCTCCATGGCCTCGGAAGCGGGGCGCACCATATGTGAGAGTGTCGGGGTGTTTATCCACCTTGGCTTCGGGACTTGTCCTTTGTCATAATACGTCTCAACACCCATGATGACCTCGCAAGTAGGTGAATCCGGTTGTCCCGCGACGATCCCTTGGAGAATGACATGGTGAAAGTCCGCCTCGGATAACGCGATCAACCCATCGGTGCGAAGCCATTCCTCAACATTGGACCCAGCAGAGCGATCTGCCCTAGCCACATACCCGACGTCGACAAGCATTCCGAAGTTCAGAATCGAGCCTACCAGACCTCTTCGTTTGCGGTTTGCAACTAAGCTCATCATAAAAGCATTGCCGGCGTGGTAGATAGCATGACCTGGATTTCCGAACACAGTACCCAAAGAGCCAAAACACATGAAAAAATCTAGCGGATCGCTTTTGAACACCTCATCGAGATACGCCGTGCCGTGGATCTTGGGCATCATTTGTTTGGCGATACTTGCAGCAGAGAGATTGGCGAAGACGGCCGGCTCGAGAACTAGGGCTGCGTTGGTTACGCCCCCAATCTCGGGCATGGTTTGACGGAGGTGGCTGACAGTATCGCGCACTTGGACACGGTCGGTGACATCCATTTTGACAACGCGAATGTCTACCCCGTCTGCTCGAAGATCACGGAGCCAGTTCTGGTTGTCTTTCGGGTTCCGGCTGGATAAGACAATATAGCGTGCGCCACTGCGAACCAGGAAGTAGGCGAGTGATTGACCCAGCTCACTCGCCATACCGACAAGGAAGTATGTTTTATTCGGAGATATCAAATTGTGTGGGTTCAGGGGGTGGATAATGGCGCTAGTTGGTCTTTCTCGAGTCCAGTCTGTGACAACGGAGAGACGTTCAAAGTTGCCAGAACCCCTGTGGGACAGTTCCGACAGAGTGAGGACTCTAGGAGCCGACACTGGATCGAGGACACCTTGATACCGATCGTAAATGTTCAACGTGTCTTCGACATCTTCCTGCGAGAGCGAGCTCAAATCAAAGCTTTGTGGCTGGCAGCCCGAGGACAAACACGGGAGGATAGAAGCCGCCTTGGTTCCTGAAAAGTCAAACAAAGCAACCGCATCATTGGGCAACCTCTTTCTCATAGTCCGACTGGAACTTTGAGAGTGAAAGGATACAAATGCTGGACTACTGCCCTTCTGGGGCCTGTGGGTGATTGCGACGAACACAACCTTTCGAGCTTCCTCAGCGGCCAACTCAGAGATTGCTTTGGCGAGCCCGTCAGGTGCATCACATATCAGAGTTGTTCCAGATCTCGGCAGACTCGAGACTAGTTTGAATGCAAGGAGAAGAGCTGACACTTTCATGAGCGCCAGGGCGTCAAAGTCGCGAAGAACACGAGAGCTGAAGTCGCAGTGCCTGTCGATAGTGACAACAGAAGACTCTTTGTATGACAAGGCTAACCCTGCCACCTCATGGCGGCTACCATCTTTAGCCCGACCAAGGGACAGGTAGCGAGGAGTCTCGTCATTGACATGTAGGGGTACTGAAAGCTCGACATCCATTTCAACACTATCCTCTAGAGTCTCGAACGAACGACTAGAGGCAGGCACCACCCTCGATGACACTTCAACTGTGTCGTGAACAATTTCAAATTCATTCGTCGGCCCAAGAGGCTTGACAACCTGACGACGACCAGCATTGTAGACCTCGTTGGACTCAGGATCCAGGAGCACTCGCGGCGTTGCCATGTGCGAATTTTTGATCACGATTTCTGGCTCTTGCACCCAAAGTATCCCGTCCGTAATATATGGTGATGAATTAGAGAACATCAGGCGGAGGAACTGGGTCATGACAGTTTGAATATCCCATGGCTCTCCTTGATCAAAGTCGAGAAATTGAAGATTGAGATGGATGTGTTCATGCCTCAGCGACCGCCCAATGCCAACCATGATATTGGCATAAGGATCATCCACTAAGCGACCGGATGTGACCCACAAAACATTTTGAGCATTGGCTAATACGTCCTTGAGGTTCTTCAATTCGTTCACGGAAGGAGGAGAAGAGAACAGGGGCTTGTCAAGATCTTGGAGATTTATGACTGAGGACTCGGGAGGAATACAGGAGGAGTCGACTTGGTCAAAACGACTCCATGCTTGGATCTCGGACCCCAGGCCACGCAGAAGGCTCTTGCCCTGACGAATAAGCTTTGATACGCGGTTTGTTTCACCACCGATGAATATGATGGGGGATGGTGTGATCATGTGTAGCGAAGTCAGTGGACTTCGTAGGACTTCGGTCCGCTCGTCCATGGCTTGCGCGGAGAACACAGAGTAGCCATGCGTACTAACATCGGGTTGGTCGTGGAATATGCAGTCAATGCCGGAGAACCCGTTGTTAGATAGTAGATCGTCCCATTCCCCTGTCTTCATCCCGGGCGCTTCCACTTCGAGTCCGCCATTTGCCCACCAGTCTTCCAAAGCGCCCAGAATAGCCATTGGCCGAAGTGATATGCCTGTAAGCTCCATTGTGATCAAAAAGCCCCCCGGGCGCAGGAGGCTTCGCAAACTCTGGACACTCCGTGGAATGTCTTTCCTCGCACGGCAAACGTCCGTTACAATGACAACATCATAAAACTCTTGACTCGCCTTGGTATCAGGATCAAGCACTTCGAATGAGAGCCTCTTTTCTTTGGCAGATGTCAGACCGATCTCGTCTCTCAAGCCATCCACAATGTTCTGCGAGGGATTGGCACATGTATACGACCCGTACGCATCGTCAATAACATCTAATATCTCTGAGACGGTTTTGACAGAACTACCACACATATGGAGGATATTGGTTCTGGGGAATGTGTGGCTGATCTGAGCCATCAGCTGAGCGATATTGTTGGTGCAGGTTGATCCCCAGGTTGTCTGTTCGTACAGAGAAGTGTACAAATTCTCTTTGCTATCTCCTCTGAACGTCCCTTTTAGAACAGACATTGTCCTGTCTGCACTGGACGTCAGCAGCGACATGTTAATGTCATTAGGGTCTCGCTTGAGAATATCTGTGATCGTCTCGGTGCTATCATTCAGCCACTTGCGTTGTAGGAAAGACCGGTCATAAGTCTCGCGAGCCCACAACACAAGTGCGTTAATCGACCGAACAAGTCTCTGATGATGCAGCGGCAAAGCTTCCATTTCTTGCGCGCTGGTCGAATGACTGAGACGCTGTAGGTAAAATAAGGCAACACGTTCGTATTCCTCAGACATGTAACTTGGTAAGCCTAGCTGGTCCTTATTGTCCGTTGCAGATCCAGACACCAGACCATGTGCTGCATGATGACCCCAGACAGTCTTGGCCAGAATATTTCGATCCTCCGAGGGTTGCGGCTCCGAGATGGCCTTGAATGTTACCCCTTCTAATTGAATCTCACAGACACCCGTCTGATCGGTTGAGCTTTTGATGTTGATATCAGTTTCGATTAGCGGTCCCAAACCAACCGTGGGACTGGTCATATAAGCTTCGATCGCAACATTGGTCCTGAAATCCCAATTAGGGTCGATCACAGCCCGTTTGACCCCAACTGGTAGATAGGGACTATGCATCGATCTCTCTGCTGTAGAGAGGATGGTTGAAAGTCCAGTCTGAAAAGCGACATCCAAAATGGCTGGATGTACGGTACTAGCGATATTCATGCTGGGGTCATCCAGAGACCAAGACGCAACTGCCTTTGCGTGGCCCCAACATTTGTTGAGCGACTCCAACGCGCGGAACGCGCCTTCATACTGAAAGCCGATCTCCGACGCTGCGTGATAGAATCGATTCACGTTGCATGGGGTTAATTCCACGTCGGAAATATATGTCGGTGCCAGGTCTGTTGGCTCGGGTTCACCGAGATGAATGAGTAGCAGGCCCTCGCAATTCTTATCCGCCTCTAGATCATTTGGAGGATAGCTGTGACAGGTGAATTCAGCTTCCATGGCCGATTTTGAGTGGGTTTGGACTCCAGAACTTCCAGGTGAGACCCGGCTCCGGATTGTGAATAGAATTTCAACCTCGTCTCCCTCACCGACAGGCAATGCTTTTGGGACAGTCATGCTACGCACTTCGACGAGCTTGATGGATTCATTCTTGACAAACACCTTAGCCGCATCAACAGCGAGACTGATATACCCGGTCGCGGGAAAAAGGACTTGGTTCTGGAAGACATGCTCCCTGAGCCAGGGCATTTCGTTCAGCCGCAATGTATTCCGCCATGTGTGCTCGGACCCGGTATCGTTCCAGAGGCGACCAAGGATGTCATGCGGAGGCTGTGTACCGAGACGATAGTTACCAGCAACACGGGACTCTCGCCAGTGAACCTGGATGTGTTCCCATGCGTAGGGAGGCAAACCCTTAATCGGTGGCTTTGGGGCGTTGTTGCCAAGGGCTGAGCGCCATCCAGATAGTTGCACAGCGGTTGGGGCAAGGGTCCAGATGGTGGTGAGAGTCTCTAAGAAGGTGGTAACAGCGTCGCTGCCCCGGGTTAAACAAGCCGTATAGGTCATAGAGGGACTAGAGGAAGCCGATTGCTTCAAAGTCTGATTTACTGGGCCTCTCAGAGTGCCGTGTGGCCCAACCTCGATGGCGGCAGTAAATCCAGTAGTGTTGAACTCAACAGCAGAGCTCACGGCTTGGGAGAAGAGAACTGGATGTGTCAAGTTGTCAACCCAATACTGTCCCTCTAGCTCCGATCCGATTACACTGTCAAGAATATCGGTGTTCTGTCTGACACTGGAATACCAGCGACACTCTTGATCAGCCGACGGTGTTTGAACAGTCACGTCGAGCTCCTTGAGCCGTCGCAAATAGGGCCCAGCACAAGCACGCATATGATGAGAGTGATAAGCTGTGTCGACTTGAAGAGCTCGAGCTTGAATTTGCTTTTCAGCAAGGTACTCCTTCATCGCCGAAATCGCGTCCTTGTCACCGGATAGAGTCACGCTGGAAGGTGAATTGCTCGCTGCGACCGTGATCCGACCATTGAATTGTCGCTCAGAGCAAAACCCAACGGCTGTTGCAAAAGAGATAGAGGCAGCCAACATGGCTCCCGGTTGACCGTTGTCGCCTCGTGCAAGGTTCGTCACACACCCTCGATAGTACGAGATCCCCATGGCATCCCGTTTACTCAAGACTCCAGCAACGTACGCTGCAGCAATCTCTCCAGAAGAATGACCAACAACAGTGTGGAAGCGGACTCCACAGGCGCGTAGAAGATCAACAAGTGCTAGTTGAATGGCCGTGCACAGGGGCTGTGAGAATTGAGCCTCTGCTACGCGTGAATCTGTGGTGTCTGCAGCCAACTCTTTGATCAAGGACCATGTCGGCGGATCTGGAATCGATGCCAGGGCCGCTTCACAATCCAGAATGGACTCCCTAAAGCTCTTGCAGCCTTCTAACAAGGAGAAGCCCATCCGTGCGGCTTGTGCTCCCTAGGTAGGTAAAGATAATCAGCGTCAGGACCCACGTTGTTGCTATTTTGTCGAGCATACCTGGCCGGTGAATACCCCCAAAATGGATGCCCCTTCCCTACTGCTGGATCCAGGCGACTGTTGGAGAGGTCCGTCCATTGAAGTGCTGATTATGTTGATTTGATCTTCCAGTTTTTCCATAAGATCCTCGTGATCAACCACGGTCGGGATCGCAACTCGATAACGAAACACAGATCTCTTTGAATTTAGCGTATTGCTCAAAGCGTCGAGGTCCGCGAATTTGTTCACTCGCACATAGCTGAGTAGCTTCTTGAGCCAGTCAAGCAACGATGATTGGCTCCGAGCCGAGATCACCAGTGGTGCGACGGGACGTCCATCAAATTCATAGATGCCGCCGGTTCCCACATCCGACGGAGTTGATCTTGGGTAAAATTCTGTAATGGAAGGCTCATAGCTCTCGAGGATAGCATGAGCATTGGTGCCACCAAAACCAAAGCTGTTAACACTGGCTCTTCGAGGTCCATCGCCTGTCTCCGGCCACGGTAAGAGGGTTGTAGGCACTTCCAAGCCTCCGTAATATGGCTCAATCTTTGGGTTCAGGTTGTTGAAGTGCATGTTGGGAGGAATGGCCTTGTTCTGGATAGCCAGCGAGGCTTTAATCAACCCAGCCAATCCTGCACAGCCTTCTAGATGACCAATAACGGTTTTGATGGACCCACAATAAAGCGTGCTGTTGATGGGAGGGTCGCTCTCTTCGCGAAATGCGTCTTGAATTGCTTGAGCTTCTGCAGGATCACCAGCTTGGGTACCGGTGCCGTGACACTCAAAGTATTGGCATCGATCCGTGACGGGGTCTAGCCCAGCATCACGGTATGTCTGCTGGATCAAGGCAGTTTGTGCCGCGGGTGAGGGTATCGTAATACCGTTGCTGCTGCCTTGCCCGTCTGAATTGACACCGGTCCCACGGATAATGCATTCGATATGATCGTTATCGCGGATCGCCTGGGAGAGTGTCTTCACCACCACTGCAGCGCAGCCTTCACCTCTAGCATAGCCACTGGCATCCCTATCCCACATACGACATCGAGACTCCGGAGAAATCATATGCATAGAGGACCCCATGATGTACCAAGACGAGTCCATAAGCAAGTTGGTACCGGCTACAACTGCTTGAGTGGCCTCTCCCCGCTGAAGGCCCTGTACTGCCATGTGTAGGGCAACGAGTGAGCTGGAACATGCTGTATCCAGTGCCAAAGATGCCCCTTGCAGATTGAAGACGTAGGATACCCGATTTGCCAGAATAGAACGGGATATGCCGGTAGCGGCATGACCACCCAACGTATCAGGGTCTCGGCCCTGGATCAAATTATAGTCATCCGTCATTATGCCGACATGAACTGAAGTCTGAGAGCCATCAACATCGCCGAGTGACCATCCAGCTGCTTCAAAGGCTTCGTAGACGGTTTCTAGAAGAATCCTTTGTTGGGGATCCATATCGGCCGCCTCCTTTGGGTTGATGTTGAAGAAGGCATTGTCGAAATGACGGACATCTTCTTCCAGCAAATAGGACTTGTGAAGGACATGAGAGCGGCCGCGCATGTCGGCATTATCGTTGTAGAAACCGGTCGTGTTTAGCCTTTCTGGAGGAAATTCTCGGAGAACGTCTCTCGGCGCCTTCAAGAGATCCCAAAGTTTCGAGGGCGAACTCGCACCACCTGGCAGCCGACAGGCTGTTCCAACAATTGCTAGCGGCTCATACATGCTGCCTTTTTCACTTGAGAATTCCTAGCAGATGACTGATGTTTTTCGGCTTTGGTATTTAGAGAACGGACAGTCCACGATTGTATGATTTTGAGTTTTGGCTCAATACTAGAAGCGGCTTAGTAGAGTATTAGACTTCTTATGCTATAGGATATTTCTTATACTATAGAATAGTTCTTATACTATACAATATGGCTTTTGTAGGCTTCAACTCAACACTAATGTCTCCCTGTTTGGAGTATAAAGTACGATCTGGAACCACCCCAAAGGCTGGAACCCTAGCAAGATTATTCCACTAGAAGGAGCCGTATTAACTCTCAACAATCTGACACCGTGACATCTGATTGTGGTCTGATCTGCATCTATGTTATTCTAACAGATGGGTGGTCAGCCATTAATGGAGTGGTGAGCAGACACGCCAAGGTGCAGGGGTGACTATAATCTCACTAAGCTCATCATCCCCGCACGACAAGTCCACCCAAGCACGCTCATGCAGATATAGCGAAGACAGACGAAAGGGTCAGATTCATTTTCCGAAACATTCTGTCGCAGTAAGTCGTCCAGAGCTCAATCTGTGCCTTTCCAAGGAACCAATCGGCGTCCCATTGCACCCTCCATCAACATACGATCGATGACATCCAAGATCAGCATCAACACGTCAGCAAGATAGTTCATGCTAGCTGATGTGCGAATCCTTCTACTGCGACTTCTCGGTATCATCTTTCCCCCTCGAGATCTGCGGGGTTCTCCCTTATTTCCCCCCTCCGCTATTGCCAAATGATGTGAACAGTGCGAACTTCATATTGTTGATCTATTTTATCTGAGTTCACTTGAAATCACACCCTCAGCAACTTCATACATACCATGGCAAAGAATCCCGAAGTTATCCAGAATTTCGATCTGGGATGGGACGGCATACAGACCAGACCCCGCGTTCCTCTCTTCCTGATCCATGATGGCGGTGGTACAACTTTTGCATACCATTGTCTAGACTCTCTCGGACGCCCAACATACGGGATTTTCAATCCGCGCTATCACAGCGGCGGGAGTTTCGAAGGTGGAGTACGTGGGATGGGACGTCTTTACGCCGCAATGATCAGAAAAACCTGCGCTGCGCCTGACTTTCCGGGCAAACGCAACCCCGACGGAAGGATTGATATCCTTCTAGGTGGATGGAGTATGGGCGGCTTGCTCAGCCTCGAGATTGCAAAGGTGCTGACAGGTGATCGGGATGTGAACGTCATTGGTGTCTTGATGATGGAGAGCATGTGTCCGGTCAACTTGCTTAGTGGTGGAGGCTACCTCGAAACACTGGATCACCTAGTCATGGACAAGCCAAACAAGAACCTGGTTCTGTCGATACGAGCCATGAAGGAAGCACTACGGGCCATTCGGGAATGGAACCCCCCTATTTGGACAGGTCATCAATCTGGCCAACGACCGCGGTTCTCCCTCCTGCGAGCGGCCAATATTCTACCAACAAAAGGGAACCGACTGCATATACTAGACATTTACCGCCACGACCAGAATCTCGGGTGGGACAATTATGATCCCGATCTATTTACGGAGACATTGGAAGTCGAGGGCAATCATTTTGAAATGTTTTCCTTTCGGAATATTCCCGGGATCTCGGAAGCCATCCAGAGATGCTGTGACACATTGGAGAAGCTTAGCCAGTTGTAGTTTCTCCCGCGTCAGAATTTGTCCAGGTTGATGATTTTTGTCAAGGATGAACATCATGATGAGGCATTTTGTTCCACCTATTGGTCCCATATCCCTGTAACTAGTTCCAGAGTGATACGCCTATGGCTAAGCAGACATGCCTTGTCTATGTCTACTCGTAATGTAACTAGACTACTAGGTAGACCGTCGCTTTAGGTGGAACCCATTCTATATTAGACCACTTCCTCTAAACGATCAGCGGCTTATGTGAGACTAGAGGACTTACCCGCCTTTAAGTCTCGGCAAACGCGGAGAGTGGGGTTGACTCGGTGGCCTGAGCTGTATAGGCGATAAGAATTACCCTTTTTACCCGCTTGTAAGAGCTACTCTGTTGATCTTGACATTTTTGCAAGTGCTCACTTCATTGCAAGGATCTTGCGGGGAACCTAGAGGACCTTCTAGGCATGTGGTGCGATATTGAAACTTCGGCGAGGTAGGGTGATGATATCATGTCAATGGACGGGATAAGCTGTTTCATGCAGAATGTCAGACTATAGCGCCGCTGTTGCATCATGCAATAACACGATGCCTTATATCTGCACCTTAGGATGAGGTGAGACTGTCTTAGGTTCGAGGCCTCTCTATTCTAAATCCGGCATTGATCTCTGATCAGTCTTACTAGCATTCAGCCTGTGTGAGGGGTTGCAGCGTTTTATCCTGCAGGTTGTATATAATAGGAAAAATTATGATTCCGTACTCCGTTCCCAAGCGTGAGTCACACTCAGACTGCTGAATGAATCTTCCACCGCTAAAACAAATTCAGTTGGACTTGGGACACTCTTATGCGGTAACAGATTATCTACCTGGCCGATCAATATTCCACTGCCTTCACTCATCAACATACAAACATGGTAGACGAGAAACAAAAGGTAGTTTCGTCAATTTCATTTACATAGCGTTGATTTGAATTATTTAACTTTTTCCCTCGCAGACAGAAACCCCAAAACAAGTCGAACAAAATTCACAGTAACCAAGCCTTCCAGATTCTTCTACCAGTCTCAAATATTGTTACTAACATCAGCCAGATTCTACGAACATGGAACGAGCCTTATTGAGCATGTCTTCGGTAGCTTCATCCACGTGTTCCGCTTGACTCCTGGTGAAACTCTCTCCAACGCAGTCACCCGACATGAGCACTACCTAGCACTATGGTTGAAAGTGAACAAGGACCAAAAGGTCCTAGACGTCGGCTGTGGCAATGGGGGACCAACTCGGGAAATCGCGCGATTTCTTGACGTCAACGTTGTCGGGGTTGATCTGGAAGAACATCACGTTCAACATGCGAGGAAATTTACAGCAGCAGCCAAACTCGAAGATCGTGTCTCCTTTGTGGCGGCGGATTTTATGGACATGAAACTCGAAGAAGCCTCCTTTGACGGTGCTTATTCCATCGAGGCAACGGCCTATGCCCCCGACCTCCAGGCTGTCTACGCGCAGATCTTCAGAGTGCTTCGGCCAGGCGCCAGATTTGCTGTCTATGAGCCAGTCTTGGCCAGTAAGTATAGCGATGATGACCCGGCGCATCTGGAAACCCGACGTAAATATGAACAGGTGTTTGCCGCGCCACCGCTGCGGGAAGCATCAGCGGCCGTTGAAGCAATGAAAGCCGCTGGCTTCGAGATGGAGCTTGCGGAAGATTTGGCAGAGCGACCAGGTAGCATGCCATGGTATTACCCTATTGATGGGTCATATGGGATGATGGCATCGGTGTCAGATACGTTTGCCAAGAATTATTACTCGTTCCTTATGAACTCGTTCAGGTCTCGTGGGATCCTGTACTATATGGCCGGGACTCTGGAAAGGCTGAGGATCTTGCCACCTGGGACGCGAAACGAGGCAGTGCAGATAATGGACGCGATGGATTCTCTTTTAAAGGCGGGTGAGAAGGGGATTGTCACGCCGATGTTCCTGATGGTTGGGAGGAAACCTAAAGTCTAAACTCAGATCAACTCTTTCTGTGCTCCTTTTTGCGTATTCTTCGTACTCCAATCGACGCCATATCCGCATAGGGTAGAATACCTTCCAAATTCAAGTTAGAAGCGCGGCGTGTAAAAAGTAGTGGGTTAGAGCCTTCGGGCCATTATCAGAATTCATCTATCATGACTCCGGTACACATAAATAAGATGCCATAAATCAGTTATTCAGCGCAGGGCGACTGATCACCCCCGCTAGATTTGCATTATATAAGAAGGTTATGCCGCATCTTACGTCTTCTTACGTTGCTTATTATCCCCGCTTCTATTAACATTTTACCTCCGAGTCCCCGAGTTCCTACAGGGTTACTTCTTGTTCTCAATACTTCGGACTATCTGTTACAGTTTTTCCAACCCCCAAGCCGTGTTGATCGGTCGCCCATTATGGACGTGCATGCCCTTTATCACATGCTGCGGCTCGAGGTGCTGCATCCGAAACTATTAACCTTTGCAAGGGACGGACCGCTCCCGCTTATGTGGAACAACCTTACTACTCGGTCCAGTCCCCTTCAACGATCGGAGCTTGAAGCTCTCGCAGGTCGCACAGCACTGATCGCGGGTGCAACGTCCGGATGTGGACTGCAGCTGGCCAAGATTCTCGCAGCACATTGTAGCCAGCTTATCATCACCGCGCGCGACCCCCAGCGTGGCCAGCGGGCTCTGGAAGAAATCCGCGCAAGCCTCCCGAATGAAACTCAAACAAAGCCCAAAATCGATTTGTGGCCCCTTGAGATGGGATCCTTCCAGTCTATTCAGGATTTCAACGACCGGTTACTCTCACTCCCGTCACTCGATTTCGCAGTCCTCAACGCCGGGGTTTTCCATCTCCGCTTTGAGCAAACAGCCGACTCGTTCGAAACCCACCTGCAGGTGAACTACCTCGCATCTTGTCCGCTTTCACTGTCCCTACTCGCTACACTTGAACGCGGTCGGTCCCCGGACTCCCGCCCAGGAAGGCTTCTGAATGTTACATCCGAGGGACACGCGCTGGAGGACATCCCCCCTGGTAAAACTGCCGACGAGATCCTCGAGAGCTTCGGCGACCCGAAACTATCAACTTGCTATCAGCGTTACAGGCTTTCGAAACTGCTAACTATGATCTGGACGCACGAACTGGCTTCGTCTATTGATACTAGTGCCCACCGTGTTGAAATTGCTTCCTTTACGCCCGGAGCTAGTCAGACGCAGATTTGTCGGGACCTAGGAACCGGACCTATCGTGCGCACAGTCATGGGTCTGTTTTGTCAATCGGCTGAAGCCGGCGCCTGGACGTATGTCCGGGCTTTAACAGCAGAAGAATACCATGGCCGGTATTTCTTTCGGGAGCGCACTTACGAGTACGTCTTGAACCCTTCGCTCATCGAACGATCGCCAATTTGCTGACATTCCTATTTAGGCCTACGGACTGCGTCACTGCAGAAAAACACAAATTGTTTCGTGAAGATCTCGTCCGACAAACTCTCACGCTGCTGAAAGGTCAAATCTCAGTACCCTCAGAGTTGGACGACTGGTTGGCGATCTAGTCTGGTGGTGCGTTTGCGGCTTTTTTTTTTTTGTTTTTTTTCCCTCTCCTGATATGTTAACTAGACTAGCTAGTAACTAAAACTTACTAAGACAAGCTTTGTAGGAACCGTAGAACATGGGCTGTGCAACGTGGAGCACCACCGGGCCACTTTTCACGGTTTGGCATATTTATAGGGTCGTGTTAGACCGACACCCCCCCCCCCCGGTTATCCCGACACCCCCATTTCCTATTCGGTTTAGCATGGCCATGTGATATAGAAATTTGGCACTTAGTATAATTGTTTGAACAGAACATTTATCATTCTTTTAATCGTACAAAAAACGCTGCATTCATTAAGCAATCATAGGCCTTCATTCAGAGTTCGAATTCTGTCAGTTCTCGTCCCTCAACTACCGCGCTACCTTACTACGGCCAGCTCGCTGACTGCGTCGTAGTAACTCAACTTCTTCTTCCTCGCTGGTTTCCCCGTTCTCTTCGCTGGTTGGTGCCTCATTCTCATTATCCCTGTTTCTATCTTCTTTACTAACTTCAATCGTTTCAGTAGAGTTTTCTTTATTTCTAAAGCTCTATCTTCCGCGTTTTTTACGTCCTTGTTTTTCCTGATTATTCCGCTTTCGGCGTCTGACTGGTTGTTCTTGAGATAATTCGTATTCAAACGCGGATAGTTCTTACCGTATAAAGAAATTCTAAGTAACTCTATTCTGTATTATTTCTATCTCTGCCTCTGCTTCTGTTGCTCGATTTTCTGATCCGGCAGGACGCCTACGATAACGCTGTACAACTCGTAGCTCAAAAACCAGCGATCTCGGGTCAATAGGTAAGAGGTATTTATCCGTATAAAGATACTCGGAGATAGCTACATTTATAATGAAATAACGTATCAGATAGGCATTTAAGAATAAATCTATACGTATTCTCAGTCTCGTTGTGCATAAAGTCAAACGCTGCATAAAAAGTATCCCCTGTTACTGTTATCCTAACGATATCCAGTAAAGGCATCTGATATCGATTCGTTTTATAGATTGATTTTATGAAAAGGACTTTATAATTTATACGTAGCAGTTTAACGCAACTTTTATAAGTAATACATACAACTTTAACAATATCATCTTTATCGATATCTTAGACAAGGGTAAAGCTCCCTTCTGGACAGCCTTGAGAGCTGGGTCTTTCTAGGGCTTGGCGCCCTTAGGCCTCAGGCACCAGCCGTCGGTCAACCCCTTCAATGTCACCTGATTCCCCCGCAAAAAGGAGGTTCGATGGGCCGGAACTAGCCGTATCCAGAATGTACGGGGTAGAAACTGGAAACTATTGAAGCAAGGCAATATACGGAGTACTCAGGAACAAAACGATAAGGTCCAATGGGTAGTAATTCAATGATCACTCAGTGGTTTGGAGCTTCCAGCTCACGTGCCCTTTGTTTACCTCGAGCGGAGACCGCGGACCCCGAGCGCGTGTCGGTTCCGAGTCGTACGACCAGGCAGATGTCAGAATTTAGTCCCCTATTCGGGATTCCCCTATTTCTCTTGCCATCGGCGCTAGCGAGCAATCACCCGAGATTCTTTAAGATCCGAAGTCCCTAAAAGCATGCCTCGTCCTTCTAACACTCCACTCGGCAATTAATCACTCCACTCCTTCGTGAAAATCCATCATGACAGTTCCAGTTCCCCACCCTTACTATCCCTTGGACGCAGAGATCCCCAACTATGTCCCTAGGGAATTGAGTACCCCGGTGATACTTGCGACGTTCTCCGCTGCTTCCCTATTCGCTCTTACAACCGCCAAAATCATCGCGACTACTGTGAACCCCAGAATTAAAACTTCGGAGCTCTTAACGGTTCTCTGGTTTGCACTATGTATGTCTTTCCTTCCCCAATTCTATACACATCGAGTACTCACGAACGATAGGTGGTTGTATCCACCTCGTCCTCGAAGGCTACTATGCCCTTAACTGGTCCACGCTCCCGGGCTCCCAACACCTCCTCGCGCAACTCTGGAAAGAATATTCCTTGTCCGATTCGCGTTACCTTACGTCCGATGCCTTTATGATGATCATGGAGTCGATGACCGCATGGGCTTGGGGACCGTTGTCCTTCCTGATCGCCGCCCTTATCGTGACCGAGAACCCCTTCCGTCACCCGTTGCAGATCATTGTCTCTACTGGACAGCTTTACGGGAATATACTGTACTATGGGATTTGTGCGTTCGACTTTCTGGTACATGGAGTTGAGTACTCGAGGCCAGAGAACTACTACTTCTATGGATATTTTGTGTTTTTGAATTCGTTTTGGATTGTTATTCCTATTGGTATGTTGTCCTTGCCACGTCTCCCCCCTCCTTTCTCTCTTTCAAATCGGTGAGCGAAAGCTAACTGGATTTACATAGTTCTTATCGCAAGCAGTGTGAAGGCCTGCGCGGGAGCTTTTGCGGATGCCAAGAGGATGAGGACTGTCGGGACGAATGGAAGTTCTAAGAAAAGATCTTAAACAAGGCAATAATGTGCCATGGTTGACGGCACGTCATCCTCGGCCATGATTACGAAGAGTCTATGGGCCTTTCGCCTTGCGGTGAGAAGTAAATGTGGCAAATACGTATAAACTCACACTAATGTAAAAATAATGGGCAAATGCATGTTTGGATAAAGGAGGTGTATACTTTAGCAGGTTAGAGAAAATCAAAATGAGACAATTATTCCATCATTTTCGACAATTCTTGAGACTTTCAACAATTTCTAATTGCCAGGGATAATATTATCGTACGCCGCAAGAGAGAAACAAAAAGAAATATATAAACTCCTAGGATGCCGGTAGGCATTTTGGTTGCCTTGAGTGACGCGTCACCTCATAGTTGAAGGCGTATAAATTTTAGTGACTACTGGATGAAGCAAAGTTATAACGAGTGCACAATACTCAAGGATATAGCATTCAAGCAAAGCATTACCATTCATCTACCACTTTTCTTTCGTAATGGCTTCCCTCAACTATACTCTCCGACCCCCAAATCGCTCCGACGTCCCCGTTCTAAGCGACCTGTTATACAACTCAAAGCTCACATTAACCATTAATCGCCTTCTATTCAAGGATTGTCCAAACGAGCAAGCTCAGCGCAAGAATTACGCCTCTGTGTTTGATGGGCTTGAATCATCTCCTACTGAAACTGTTGCCGTGTGCGATGCCGCCTCCGGGGAGGTTGTAGGCCTCCTGGCATTCGCTCGAAAGAGACCTTCAGTTGATACCGATGAATCTGCTTCACCTTCGACTAAGGAACCCCAAAATAAACCGGATATTTTCAACCAAGAGGTGCTGGGGGCAGTCATGGAGACGGTGAAAACACTTTCGGAGAATACAAAGGGATTGGATCATTACGGTGGGCTTCCCGTTCTTGTCCTAAAATCCGGGGTTGAAACAGACAAAAGGAACTAACAAACTCTGTATAGCACTGATATTCATTGTTCTTCGACACGATTATCGTCATAAAGGCATTAGGAGAGAACTGGTGAAGCATGTTTTTCACAAAGCCAGGGCGGCCGGAGTTCCAGTGACGGTTTCCGCCGAACCTCAAGTATATAACTTTTTTGTCAACTGTGGGTTCAAACCCATAAAGCATGTGAATATTGATTTGGCGAAATTGGCTCCCCCATACTCGGGATATGGGACTTTCAGGCTGGCTAGCTTGATTTGGCATCGCGAGGATTGAAGTTGTGAGGAATATTTGGATAGCCACTTGCTGTGAAAAATCTTGTTTTCTCATTGCCTGAATGCAATCTTCAATCTGAACTATCTATTTACGCCCTGCCTGGGGCTGATCCATCCTACTATTCTTTTTTCTGTCTTTCCACTTCCTTGTTCTCATCTCTTCCCTCGACCGATCACTATATCTTGGAAGAGAAGATCAGCTGGCTGATTCAGATGATCAAATGATGTTCTGTCTAACGTTCCCCCAGTAACCATCCTCTTTTCAAAATTTCTGCCTATGACACTGGCTTCTCCTGACACCGATATCCCTGGGCCCACAAATCTATGGCAATCTGTATGTCACTGGGACACTATGACTGGTCGAAATTTTGGTGGGGAATTGCTGCATTTTCAAGCTGACAAATCACAAATCTAGAGCAATGGCAGTATGTCGTGGTTTCGCTATGATTGGTCAATATCAATCTGTCACTGATCACTTGTGATTGGCCGTCATAAAAATCACCTGCCTTGACGGTCAGAACCATAATACTGTACAGTTGCCGAGTTCGTGTGTCTGTTAAGATTCGTGGGGGTTAACTGACTTGCCTTTTAGTTATCCTTTACTATTTTACACCCTCAATCTACTGGTGCTAGCTATGACCACCACAAGAATCTCAGCCAGATCTTACGTTTCGTTGTATTGGTAAAACCACTTGCACCAGCGGGATCCACTCCGAGTGTGATGACATACACCCTTTCTCTTAGTCCGTGCCGAAGCCGGTGACATACCAGTTATAAACATTCACCCAGTCACGAGCCGGAGCATCAATTGTAGTGCTTAAGTGCTTACGTCCGGTCAAAAGTAACAAGAACGGACACTTATTCCTCCGTGTGTGAAGATAAAGCACACATACCTCCCGTCTGCACTCAAAAAACTTATCATCCCGCCAGTCTCAGCCACGAGAGACCCATTCGCTACATCAACAATACCCCCCTTGAGGCTTCATAAAGTTACCGAGTTGGAAACATCTACAAAATGTCCAACGATACTTACAATCTTGTCCAGTCCCGCTACGGTGACATCGCTAAGCAGAGTGGCACCACCCAGCAGCACGAGAAAGAAGAGCAGATCGCCAGGGCCTTTGGCTACAGTGCGGAAGATCTCAGTTCGCTTCCAGAGAAGACGAATCTCGGATTAAGCTGCGGAAACCCAGTAGGGTTTGCCAATATGAAAGAGGTGTGGTGCTTGATTGATCTCTTTGCATGAGGGTGACGAATGGAAAATGCTAACCTTCAATATGTAGGGTGAGACGATTCTGGACCTTGGCAGCGGCAGTGGAATTGACGTCCTCCTGGCGGCCCGAAAAGTCGGGGCCAACGGACAGGCAATCGGTGTTGACATGACAAAGGTGAGTGATTCGAGTTCGAGTTCTTGCCTCTGTATAGACTAGGATTGATAGTAGACACAGAGCATGATCGAACTCGCCGAGAAAAATACGCAGAAGGCGGGAGTCTCCAACGCCAGATTTATTGAAACAACTATCAATTCCGTGCCATTGCCAAGTTCCAGCGTCGACTGCATCATTAGTAACTGTGTCATCAACCTCGTCCCAGCCACCGACAAACCGGCCGTCTTTAAAGAGATTGCTCGCCTACTGAAGCCGGGCGGAAGGGTTGCCATCAGTGATATTCTGGCTCGAAAGCCGCTTCCGGATCACATGACTAAGAATATGGCGCTGTATGTTGGGTGTGTTGCCGGTGCGAGTGAGATTGCGAGGTATGAGGAGTATCTTGAGCAGGCCGGATTCGAGGGTACGTATACCGCCAACAAGGACACTTGAGGGTCTTATGTATTAACCTGCCGGTAGGTGTGCTCGTTATTGACACGAAGTCGGACCTGAATCTTTACAAGCAGTCATCGTATTTGCCTCAGAGCTCGTGCTGTGGCAGTGGGGGTTCGAGTAAGGAGACTACGAGTGACATTGCAGAGTTGGATTTCAATTTGTGGGTCGGTCAGTTATTACCATCCATCCTGACTCAAGCTTGATCGCGCTGTTGACAATTTTTCCAGGCTCGTTTCAAATCTACGCTATCAAGGCTTAGGTAATTTCGCTTAATAAATGTTATGGAGATGCTAGAATCCGGTTTGGTGAGAACGCTCTTGCCGTGCATGGCTCGGACAAGCGCAGTCCCATAGGTTCAGGATGAGTATTTACAAAGGGATGACCGTTAGAATTGGCCCAATTCGATGTCAATCAAATATTTCATCGTATGATCATTCATTTAGCAGCTGGAAAATGTCCACGTTCTTTACCATGCAGCTGGCACTGGACTGACACCCTAGTTCCGACCGCACATCCTGCATGTCGGAGTAGCTCCGCATAGATGAGATTATATCGGCTGCAGTTTCGCATGGGGTACATTGTCCAGATCGCCTGGAGTCCTGGCGCCGGTTGAGTGGTTGTAGCGTTGACGTATAAGGAGTGGAAGGGTCGAACGGAGCACTCAGCTCCGAGTTCCCGTCGGAAATTTGGCTGTCAGATGCAGCCATCTGTTGATAAGTAACTAGGCTCGAACTCGAGGTCGATGAAGTAGGCTCCGTAGCCTTTTTCTTGGGCGACGGATCGTTGCGCTCGTGATTTGATGGGCTCGGTCCCCCGGAATCCACTGTATTCGGTCTGAGGGATTGCCAAGAGTGCAATCGCGCCATTAGCACAGCTTCCGAGCGCGACGTGGGAAGAGAAATACGCGCTGTATGTGCTCTTAAATATTCTCGAACTTTCTGATCAGAAACACCATGCAGTATGAGCAGCGAGCGGAGAAGACTGTTCTCTATTGCCACCTTACGCACCGCCTCTTGCACCTCTCGTGTAGCGTTAATGCCCTCGATCTGAAATTTCTGCAGGCGTTGCTCAAGATCTTGGATATATTCTTTGCGCCGTGCACGCGCACGCCGTTGGTTATCGCGAATTCGTACTGATGACGAAATTTGATCAGTCTGGGATATTGTTAGTCCCCGAGAATGGCGCTGGATCGCACATATAACCTCTTGCAAGGTGGCCGACCTTGAGTTTTCTCGACTGTTTGTTTGGACTCTTGGTCCTCATCGTTGTTATTTTAAGATGGCCGTAAAGTGTGCTGTGGGATTGGGCAATTCGGAGGATCCAGATCCAGATCCAGTACGGGGAAGGAGAGTCAACGTCAATTAGTTACCTAGGCAAGGCTTACCAAGCCCACTTAGCCTGTTTGTGAATTTTCTTTTACTCAGCCAATCAGCACCCGCCAGTGACATCCTACTCGCCGCGTTTCGCCCCGATCTGGCGATCTAGAATATAAATAAGAGATCTGCTCTTCAGAATTGATTTCACCCAAACCGCATAAAGATCATATAAGAATAATAAGATCCCCTGATGATTGCTCGTTTTAGAATTCCCTTAGCACGCGAAATCACCCCGGTCATCGGCTCAGCGGCTAGTCTATCGCCTTACAGATATACTACCATGGCACATCCCGCGGTTGCCCAGTCGGTGCCAATTGTTCCCGACTCCGTCAATGGACATGAGAGCATACGATACCCCGAACACCCGTCTCTGGCTATACCCCAGAGCGAGGATGACGCCGAGATCCGTCAGAAATACCGCCCCTTCATTCTCGACGACGCGGCCGAGGACTGGGTTAGTGCCTTGGAGTTGACAACTGCCATGGACTTGGCAGCGCAGGAACTGCAAAAACCAAGCAACCGACTGAAGGTGCTGGTGTTGTACGGTAGCCTACGTCGACGATCATACTCTCGCCTGGTGGCGCTAGAAGCCAGCAGGATTCTCTCCCGTCTGGGGTGTGACGTGCGTGTGTTTAATCCCGAGGGGTTGCCGGTGAAGAATGACACCGAGCACGGCCATCCCAAGGTACAGGAGCTCCGAGATCTCAGCAAATGGAGCGACGGGCATGTTTGGGTATCCCCCGAACAACATGGGAATCTTGTGAGCACTTTTTTCCTGCCCTCCCCCTTCCAATGCATGATTTCTCATTACTGACCATCTACAGACCGCCGTCTTCAAAAATCAGATCGACTGGATACCGCTGTCTACCGGGAGTGTGCGTCCAACACAGGGCCGGACCCTCGCTATTGCGCAGGTGTGCGGAGGCTCGCAATCGTTCAACGCCGTTAACTCTCTACGTCTTCTCGGCCGGTGGATGCGTATGTTTACTATTCCGAATCAATCTTCGATCCCGAAAGCGTATACACAATTCCCCGATGAAGGTCAACCGGGAGATCAGAGGCTTATGCCTAGTGGTAACCGAGACCGACTGGTGGATTGCATGGAGGAGTTTGTAAAGTACACTTTTCTCATGCGGCCTCACTTGGAACTCTTTGGTGATCGGTTCAGTGAGCGGGAAGAGAAAAGGGCCAAGGAGGAGAAGCTGAGGCTGGCACGAGCGACACAACTTTAGCTTAATACCTGTGGGATGTGTCCGTTGTATATATAGTGTGGCATTGGAGAGGTCAGGCTATGTACTTTACTATATGTACTTTACTACATATGAATAAATTAGCCTTGTTGTACAAGATCCAGACGTCCTCCAACCCTCTTCTTCTAGCCTTGGATTCTAGCAGACAATATTCGCGGCAGTCTGTCAAAATCAGTGGAGATTTCTCTTTGCTGTCGCTCGCCCTTTCTAATACTAATGTTAATATGCTCTCCATCCGATGTTTAGATAGCAGTAACTACTAGACACTAGTAGTAACTACGAACTAGTGTAGACTTCGTTTCTAGTGAGTCACTGGCGCGTTCTAATTGGCTACCAATAGTCCCGAGGCCAGAATGAGGCGTTGACCAATCAGCATCGGCCGATGACATCCAGATGCGAACGAATCGCTTTGTCTTCTGTCAACTCAATGTTTATATAAACCTCCACCTCGAAGACTCCCTCCGAGATTTCACACGTCGCCCGAACCTCCAACGACCAGGCTATTTGCCTTCAATCGAATCAGGACCATCTCAACACCTGAAGATGACCGAAATTGACTCCCCATCGGGCGCGGCCGCCCAGGCTCCTTCCACTCCGAACGACATAGAAAAACAAGCAAGCCAGTCAGAACCACCGCAGAAAACAAAAAATTCTGCCTTCAAGAATCTCGGCCTTTTGGACAGATTTCTCGCGGTATGGATTTTCCTGGCCATGGCAATTGGTATTGTTTTGGGAAATTTTGTGCCAAGCACTGGACCTGCGCTACAAAGGGGGAAGTTTGTTGGTGTTTCGGTTCCTATAGGTAAGGGTCCATCGATTTCTCTGCACTGCCTGTTTCAACATGCTAATACAGATTCACAGCTGTTGGCCTGCTTGTAATGATGTATCCTATTCTCTGCAAAGTGCGCTTTGAGAGCTTGCATCATGTTTTCAAAACCCGTCAGATATGGATTCAGATTGCGTTCAGTATTGTTGTTAATTGGGTCATTGCCCCGTTTTTCATGGTAAGACTCCAAGGTTTCCACTTGCTCTCTGACTTGGCAGTTAACACGGAATACTCTAGTTGGCGTTATCCTGGGCTTTCCTTCCAGACGAACCCGAACTACGCCAGGGGCTGATTCTGGTCGGACTGGCACGATGCATCGCTATGGTAAAAACACCCCCCTTCCCCTGGCCCAACAGCAATTGCGGACAAACCTTTATTTTTGGACTCGACGATACTAACCGATCTTTAGGTTCTTATCTGGACCGGTCTGGCAGGCGGCGACAACGAATACTGCGCCATCCTCGTCGCCGTGAACTCCCTTCTGCAAATGGTCTTATTCGCACCCATGGGCGTCTTCTTCATCCAAGTCATCAGCGGCGATAGCATAGCCTTTCAATACTCCACCGCCGCGAAAAGCGTCGCCGTCTTTCTCGGCATTCCGCTGGGTGCAGCAATCCTCACGCGCTTCACTCTCCGCTGGGCGACAAGTCCGCGATGGTATGATGAGGTCTTTCTGAAATGGGCAAGTCCCTGGTCCCTCATTGGGCTTTTGTTCACGATATTGGTGTTGTTTGCATCTCAGGGTCGTCACGTTGTTCACCAGATTGTCTCTGTGATCCGGGTGGCCGCGCCGCTAATTGTTTATTTCGCGGTTATATTCTTCTTGACGTTGTTGGTTGCGTACAAGTTGGGCTTTGGGTATAAGCTCGCGGCGACGCAGAGTTTTACCGCTGCCAGTAATAATTTCGAGTTGGCGATTGCCGTCGCTGTTGCTACGTTTGGAGCAGACAGTAATCAGGCGCTTGCTTCGACTGTTGGGCCACTGATTGAGGTGCCAGTTTTGTTGGGGCTTGTCTATGCTGTTAAATTGATAGCGAAGAGACTGAACTGGAAGGATTAGTAAAATCCGTTTGCTGTCTCGGTCGGTCAATTGGGGCCAAGGTCGATGATTCATTTCCCTTATTTGAGCAAAATCCTGCCTGCGCAATAGATCTTAATATTATTAATTATTATAATAATCATGTATTTCTGTAAGGTTTCAATGTACATACAGTGTCTGGTGTGCGGTATCACTACAGCTAAATTGTAGCCGCGTAACGGGAATTTAACATTTGAAACGTCCACATAGAGCGATAGCCTGTAAATATAAAGTCCTATCCAGATCCATCCAAACAGAACTGTTCTTATCGCGCTCAAAATTGTGGATTTGCTTTTGATGGGGTGCGACTGATCGATCGGCGTCCGGAGGTTCGACATTGCACTATACAAGCCGACCGCGGACATGAACAACTAGGATCTCTTGTATCGAAGAGAATGGGCCTGCGCTTTTCTGTTCTTCTTTTCATTTGGGAGATCTTTGCAGAGACTCGGAATACATCTCGCGAACCGTGTCTTCCATGGACACAGCCTTTTTCTCTTGTAGAACCGAGCCGGTCTAGACGTGGTGTTGATGATTTCTCGCGGGCAAAATGCTTGATGTGACAAATTTAGCACTTAATCACCTCACAACCCTTGAGAAAGCCGTATGGCTTGAAATGTCATATTCCAAAATATCGCGTGTACTATGGTGTTTGGAGTCTACGGCCGTGTGGGCCACCCTACCAATCACTACGTTTCAATTTCCAAATATTTCAGCCGAAGAAACATGAAATTCAAAAAACTACTTAGTAGGACAACGGTTGATTTTTATTTTTTATGGCCAACACAATGACAGTAAAAACACTGCACGTAGGGACTGCACACGTTGGGCTGGTTGAGATGGAAAAATAGGCTGTTCAACCTGATCGGCCGGAGGGAGGTGGGTCGTTCAAGTGGTGGTACTGGCAGTGGTGGAAGAGGAGGGCCCTCACCGACCGTAAACCCCTGCTCAAATCGAACTAGGCGATTCATACGTGCTCGTTTTTATCATTTCTTCTCATTGCGGGATCGCAAATCAGTGTTTTTTGTACTAGTAGCGATGCGTTGTGTATCGAAAGATAGGCTGCTTTGATGATCTGATCTAGGGCGATCTTGATGGGTGTAAGCGGGGCCATCAGATCATTCCCTAGGTAACTTTTTGAAAGATCTTGCTTGGTTTTGTTGTTTGACTATTTTTGGTGTTGTTGGGCTGAACTGGCTAGGTCGGCTAGTAGGTCGGCTAAGTGGTCGTGTTGGTGTGCGGAGTGAGATATTGAGCTTTGAGAGTACACGCTCAGGAGCTATTTCTATGTAACCAACTGATACTGGTTTCATATGAAGTCAAACCATTAGGTGAAAACCCAATTCGCCGGTCGCTAGGGGGGCCTAGAAGCCGACTTTCGTTGTGATTCTTAGCCTTTAATAAGACAATTGGAGGTAGTGAAAAACCAGCCAGCCGCATTGATTGCTTCAATTGTAGACACTCATTCACAATTTCCAGGTTGTAAGATAGCTCGGCGGCCATGTAGATCTGCTCGTGTAACAACCATCGGTGATGAGATCAGTCCCATCGCGAAACTTGTCTCATCAAAGTTGTATATATCATCAGGTTGGATACCATTCTCGTTGATCGTTCCCCCCCCCTACTTTGAACCACTTATGTAGGACTCTTGGGTCTTCTTTTCTGCTGATTGGTAGTCATATCGTCTTGAAAAACGTGACTGTAGTTCATCCTGGCGTTTGATGAAGGTGTTTGCCCAGTTAACACCCACAGTTAATGGGGGGTCGCCTCCACGGTCGGCCAGCAGAATATTAGCCATATCTCTCACATGAGAGGACCTAGGTGCTGCACCACGAGAGTCAAGAGAGAGAATCCACTGTACTACTGCATCTTCTTCAAACTAGTCAGCTCATGACCACTGGGGCGTCATCAGCACGAGATTAAAAGTTGTGGAGGCGACGCGTGAGAGTTGAACGGGGCATCTGGTAACGCGTCGCAGCCGTTCGTATCGCCTTGATGGTGCCATTTTTGATCTCTCTAATAGCAAGTAGGATTCGACCTTCCTGCTCGATTGAACTTCAGTTTGATTGGGTAGGTCCTGGCACCATAGTGGATAGTCGAAGATGGAGAATACGCGTTGGAACGCTTTTGTTGATGGGGTGGTCCACGCGGAGGTTGATTACGTTAAGTGGTATGTCACCAGTTACAAATTAGAGCGTCTCCATCTCGCAAAAAGTGGAGTCAAGAATCAGACTGGATTAGCGCAGCTTTGTGCTGACATCAACTCGTTCTTCCACCCTCTACCCCGTCACGCGCAAAGAGACTCTGAAATGATCCTCCCCGGCAAAACTTTTTCGATGACTGCACTCTCCCTTAAAGTCTCGCTTTCCGTCTCAAAATGGCCCGTTTGAAAGTCAAAACTAAGGTGAATACTCTGCACAGACTGAATTACTGGCTTGGGAACTCTGACCGCCACCTTCTAGGCTGATGATCTTACCAGAGTGCGCAACAACCAGCGGAATTGTCGTGCGCGCCAAAAGGAGTATATTCGCGTATTAGAACAGAAAGTCCAATATTACGAGACTTCGCAAAAGCCTCGATTTGATGTTATGCAGAAAAAGATAGATCTCCTCTCGGTCGAAACTCAGCTCCTAAAGTACTTTGTTGAGTCCTTAACGTCTCTGGTAAATTTGGCGTCCGGTTCGCCTCTCCAACCATTCCACGAGGCCTATGGAGCGGGAATTGGATCATATAACACTGGTTCGCTTCTGTCTTCCGGCGACAGCACCACCCTCGGTTTCATGCCGAGCGTTAGTTCAATTCTGTACACGCGAAATGTGACGATGGCCATGTCCCCTAACAGCGCGTATAGGCAACCACCGAACTACCAGCCCCCACGTCCATAATGAGAGATAATGACTATCTGCGCGGAGGGGGTTTTAGTTTGTCGGAGACTTGCCTCCCCGAGGGCTCCCTTTCTGATGAAGTATTTCCATATATGCCACAGTCATCTATGAATATGACGGAAGATCTGGAATTGCTACACTACCCGCCAGTGGAGACAGAGCCTTACAGTTATTCGGGCTCGCAGTTCGAGCTGTCAGCTTTGGAAAGTCCCACGATGGACTGCAAATCTTACCACTCGGATCTCGCCTTCCAACCCACCATCTCTTGTGCGGAGGCTTGCGAGCTCTTGATCAGCTACGTCCGAAAAAAGCCGGATTTGATGAGCCTTCACCTTAAACTCCGAAATGGGTACAAAACTAGCCTTGTGCAGGGGGAGGGATGCCGCGTTGACTACCATCTGTTGCTTACCGTTCTTTCAGAGAGGCCATGACGGCCGGCCTCAGTAGAGCTGTGAGTCTCAAAACAAGAGTGTGGGACTGATTTTTAATAAATACTTAGTATGAAGGTTTAACGATGGGAACAAACATGGCTGAATCGGGGTGATCAGAAAAGTCGCTCATTATCGTGGGGCATATCATATATCACCCCTTCACTCTCTTTTTCTCCCTAGCCGATCTTAACGCAGAATTTATTTCGATGCCTTTTGGCTGCAATATATTGACGTTCTTGAATCGTGTCGCGACTCAATTGCGAAGTATACATCTTTGGTACCTGAAGTTCAATGAGAAGTGATGACGACCATAGACATCTCAATTTACACTGATGTAAGAAACAAATCCCTAGGGTGATAGCTGCGTCTGCGCTTTACCTAGCTAGCGTGACGATTTGGTTAGTTAGCATTCACTTTCTATCTTTACTGTTCTCCCCTTGCTCTTGTCAAAACCTTCCTTATGATTGTCCATCCTTAGTACTAGTTGAGTATTTCCTAAGCAGTAAAAGTGCCTGTACGACTTGAAATTGGCTGATTCGATTGCCCAGTTAAGTAGTAAATTGCAACAATACAGTCCATACCTGTAACGAGTAGTATCTTTGCATTTTCTCCGTCACTAGGTGCCTATGTTCACTATCACAACCAGCCCTCAGTTGGGAAATTAATATTCCTATTATTCCCCCAACATGGTTTAGCGTTATCTTGACATTAGGCTATCAGTGACAGTGAAAGAGCATAGGTAGTGATACCTTTTTTTGGAAATACTATCTTGTGCCAATTACTGTACTAATGAAACTCATGCCAAGAAATAAATGCCAGTGTAGGCCGTTTCTAATCACAGTACATAAAATATCTGGACTAAATGAGTATTTGGTTGCAAGCCATTTCTTTGCGTCGTTTCACCCAAAGGCCGATATCACGCACAAATCGCCGGGCGGCACCTACTTTCACGCCGTGCTTGACAAAGAAACCCGGGTCTTGACCCTCATAGATCTGCATGAGGTCGAGACAATTTTCGATGGTCACATCGTGTGCTTTGGTGATATTCTCCCGGAAAGTCTCGTTGCTCACCCGTGATTGCTGCCATTCGGTATATTCCTCCACGGCAACATCTAGCAGGCCGTCGATCATAATTGATTCAGTACAGCCGGGCGTAGTGGGCATGGTATCATTAGCAGGAGTATGCATCGGTTGTTGAAATGCTCCGGCTGGGAGGACATTGATATTGATTGGAGGACACATTGAACCCATTGTAGAATAATCCACAGCTTTCTTTTTTTTGTCCACTTGCTGGTTCTCTTCGTCATATAGCTGCTCGCGAACACTGTCAGGAACATAATTGTGCGTCTCGAGGACTCTGTTACCTCCTGAAATCAGGGAACTTTCCGGATTGTCACTTCCTGAGCTAAGGAACTTCTCGGTATGGAGAAACCTTCCTGGATGCATTCCTGCCTGAGGCAGAGCCTCAGGCAGTACATAGAGGCCCTAGATCCTCGCTCCTAGATAGCCTTTCCTCTCCATAGGAAAATTCCTTGACTACGAGTCATAAACAAACTTGTCTTTTACTAAGCTCCTTTGTAGACCGTCACAGACTCTACCTTGCTCTACATATTTCACGAGGGCCTTCAGATGGTGTGTTTCCAATCTATGATGCCTTTTCCCCTCTGGATCTTGCCAGCAATATTGTCCTACGTGGCGACATGGAGGCCCGGGGCATCGCATGACACGATACACATCGCGCCAGACGGAATGATGACCAGAGATCTGCTCTGCGTCAATCTGAGCATCTCGGTCAGCAATCATTCGTGTTGTCACCGATGACTTTCCTCTCTTCTCGGTTCTAGAAGGAGGCCCGCTATCCTCTATATAGTTGATCGATATCTGAAGCCGGATCTTCTTGCCACGACGAGCCAGATGGGCCCACGCTAGTTGCTGTTTCTCCACTGCTGTCCAATAAATATTAGTACCTTCAAAGTGTTTGTCAATGTCCCGTTGTGAATTCACCGATAACACCATCGGTGTGTAGCCGGAAAAGAAATAAGAAACCCTACCCAGGGAGCATCATCTTGCAGATAATCCTTGCACAGGGCTGTAAATGGCTTGACACATGAAACACCGAGTATCACGAAATGATAAACTTGAATGATAAGTGTGAATGACTCAATAAGAAATAACACATCATGCCTCCGATCAACTTCAAGTCAAGCATAAGAGGTATTGATCCTCTCTCTCGACTCCATCCGATAACTCTCGTCACTACCCTCAATCATAAGCCCCTTATAATTCGCCTCTTCCCCATTTTTCGATCGCACACTCCAAACCGCATCTCCCCATTGTCCCTTCCACACCCAGCCGGGATGGAACGCTGTCAGAGCAATAACTGCCGCGGCAATCATGGCTCCCTCCAGCACCATGAAAGTGATCTCATCATTCGCCAACTTCCCATCAAACCCCTCGCTGAGCTCCGCGCATCGGAAAGCCGACCGAATAATGATGGTCAACGTCGCGGTACCCAATCCCAACAGGAAACCTTTGAAAGCCTTTGTCTGTCGCAGGCCCTCAAATATGGGGTTGGATAAGTTCGCAGGGGCACGGCGGACCCGAAGCGCGAAGTCGGTGCAGAGTGCCACGAAGAGAAGGAGACTGAATACCTGCCACGAGACACCAGCAACCATGATGTTCGTGCCGATCTTCGTGGTATCTTTGTCGTCTGCAATGGAGGCGATGGCTCCGCCAGCGGCTTGCAGGACTAGGGCTATCAGGTCGCACGTGATGAAAAGAATGGTGTAGGTGCGGGCGCGGAAGAAGGGGATCTTTTCGCCGTATGCGATCACGATGCGGGAGAGACAGAGGTAGATAGCCGCAGAGAGGAAAGCGGGTCCAATGGTTAAGCAGACGAGGTACCTTGTCTTCTATTAGTATAGTTGTGGATGGGCGAGGTAGAGAGAGAAAGGATACATACATGAGGAAGGGGTCGAATTTGAAAGGGTTACTGTGCATCTGAATGCGAGCAACGTATCCAATAATTTCTAGTGCTAAGCCACAGACCATGGCTATCATGTAACTCCATGTCTTGTGTTTAATGCCGAAGAAAAGTTGGAAGACGATAATAAGTCCGAAGACTGCAGCAAAGAAGATGTTACCCGCAAGATTGGGGAGATATTCGATCATGGCTAGGTCCAGGGGACATGTGTCCAGAGTACAAAGCTCTGGATCCTGGATCAGGGTCATGTTTGTTGTGGGAGTGCCCATCTTTGCGGTTAGAGAGAAACTGTATGAATGAGAAAAGCGCAGTTGTTTTGCTTGGTGTTGATCAAACCTGACCCCTGGAATTTGGCACAGGCTTTATAGTTTTGCAACATCATCTTCCTTGTCTGCCTAACTATAAATTCATTTTGAGTAAAATTTAGCTCGAGCCTGGGGGAAGTGCTTCCTTCACGAAGGGACCAGTCAGGGACCACATACGCCATTGATCGAACACGACACAGCCATCTTCGTCTTTTTTTTTTTCAGTTTCAAACTATCTGACCCCATTTCACCAGATAAGCTTAGACGAGGCTCAGATTGGATGCCAAGGCCATGACCTTACTCCGGTGTATGTGCACGCTGGGGCAGGATCAGCCCAAGTCAGTCCGCCCCCGAATTGCGATAAACCTCTATATTTAGGGCTGATTGCCGCAGCCGTGATTGGTCAGTTCGTAAAGAAATTCCCCGAAACAGTAATGATCGTCAGGCATATAATTTCCTTTGGACAGCCTCGCCGCCCGCAAATGTTGGTGCCTAATCTATGCTCCGTCGGAGTACGGAGAAATGTTCTAAGCACATGGCATGGATGAACGAATATTTTCGAGATTCTGCGATGTTCATTCTCGGTCGGCTTTGGAGGTCATGAACGATGAACATCACAAGTCGCATTCAATTCTAGCTGTAACAGGAGCAGTCTGGCCCGCCTAAAACATGCATCGACCACTGCTGTGTTGTCCACTCCTTCGTATAATCCCTGGTCTGAACAGAGTCGATTCTTGGCAGCTTCCACTCGGAATCCATGCGTTTTCCCAATTCGGTGAACCTTGCGGCCGCACTAGGGAGCGGACAATCCAAGGCCGAGCTTAACGCCCTGTTCCTTCTAGGCCCCCTGCTAACTTGGGCCCAGCCTTACCCACTCAGGTCGGACGCCCAGTCCTCATCGCAACTTTTTAGCTTTATTAAGATAGTAATCTGACGTAGGCTGTCAATGCATAATAAATGGCCAACTTTAATATGTAATTTCTTCTAGGCCGCCCAATTCTTGTCGCAACGTTTTAGCTTTATTTAGATATTTTTAACATGCCCTTCTCGCAGGAAGCCCGCTAGATCCAACGTCCTATTCATTCTAGATCCACGATTCACTTTGGTCTAGTATACTTCGTTTCACCCGCCCAGTCGTTGTCGGAATTGTTCATCCTTAATAAGTCAGTATTATAATATGATTTTCTAACAGATATTGAATAAAGTTTAACATCACTGTCTTCCCAGGCCACCTGCTAACTCATATCCAGTACACCAACTTGGTTTCGCACGCCCAGTCCTTGTCCCAACCGTTTGGTTTCATTAGGGTAGTAATCTGGCAGGGGCTTGTATCCTTCACATCCTCCCCTATCGTCTCGTACACCCGTTGCTCATCGGCTGGCACTCTTTGCTCGATTGGTAATGACTGCATATCTTTCTCTTCTACGTCTATCACCATCTGCGCCACCTCTATGAATCTTCTTCTTCTCCACAATCCTTCTTGCTGCGGACTGCTAGCTATGACGTTCAAGGCTCTCCGTCGGATCAACGGGTCCCGACACTTCACCGCACACCAGTATAACATCGGAATGAGTCCAGCTTCGAGCGTGAATTGTGAATTCAAATGGTCCTCCACTGAGCCAACACCATTATTGATTTCGACGAGTTCCTCTGCCCCGCTAACAACGGCTTCGAATGTCTCGTTATATTCATCATAGATCACCTCGTCCATCGCTAGACATGTCTCCACCCATATTAGCGATACACGAAATTGGACCCATAAAAGGAGCGGTGCTCGAGGGTCAACGTGGTTCTGCTGCCCCCTATCAGTTGCTGTGAGCTTTTCGAAAGCAAGCTTCCATGCTCGAAGCTCTTGACTCAGTTGTTGTTGTCGTGGGAAGTACGAGTCTCTGGCCACAGCCTTCTTGTCCGTTGCTTCGCGAACGAAAACTAACCCTTTGTTCATGAGGCGGTCCAACGCATGTCTGGCTTCGGGTATGTCCGTCAACACAACCTCCTCAGCAGTTGGATGGTCTGATCCTGGCCCGTCCAAATCGAATACCATCATCTGTCGCCCGTGAAGAGACAGTTGAATGTTCAACCGCAAGCTCAGATGCGATAGTTCCCGGTCGATGTCGGTCATCACTGTCGAGGACTGACTCTCAGTGTCTCGGCCATGCAGGATTTTTATTCCCGACTCAAGGTGATTTAACGCTTGTGCATTCTCCCCTTTCAACATCTCCAGACACATGAAAAGGTAACACGTGATAAGTGTTAGGTTCATCGTCTGATTCGGCGAAGACAAATAGTCAATCAGATGTTTGATCGCTTTGTTGTACTGTCTCAGTGCAAAATCATTGTTCGCAATTACTGAGTCGGAGTCCCGACATAGAAATCTCTCATGCGCTGCACTCACTGCTACTACAGCGTGCCTCACGACCGGAATGGATTGACTAATCTGCGGAATTATCTTATCCCACAGCTCAGTTTGAAACACGCCTGACATGACACGCGTGGTTTGCGTGCAGAAGAAATGCACGTATTTCTGCTCCTCCCGCGTTCCTGGCAGCAGGACGACATGACTCGACGAAGGGATTTTGGGAGCCGGTCGCGCTACGACGCGATTGTCTGGTTTTTTTGGTGGTTGTTTGTCATATCCATCGCATTTTCTCCCCGTTTTTCGACACTGCGCGCATGCTGGCTTTTCCTCGTCGCATTTGACATGTCGGATCCTAGCCTCGTCAGTACGAGTTTCTGCTTGCAACCCGCCTCAGAAACATACTTGCACGTAGCACACCCCGTCCTAGACTTCGGCTTGCTCGCTCGTTTCCATATCCTCGCCATGTTGAGTTGTTTGTTATCGTCGATTGTCCAAACTGTGGGACAGAGGCGGCGACATAATCAAGAATATCTTCTTGGCCCCCAAGAGCCTCAGCTCTGTTTTTAGGTTTCAACATTAATTAGGCAATAATTCATGGGTAAGCAACACAGCCTCCACCAAGGCTGCCCGCCAAGCCAAGAGGACAGCCACCAAGGGTCAAAGATCAAAGATTGGAGCTTCCGCAGAGAGATTCATTTCGCCAGGGAATAGGCAGCCTTGAGACTTGTTTCGTGTCGCGTTTCGAAATCCCAACACGTGGTCGCAAGGCTGGATCCATTCCCCGTGCCCTCGTCACCACTTGATAAACAAGGGATCGACAGTCCCCGACGTAAAGTTGAGTTTAGTTCAGTTGCTGGCTGCGGGTTTCGGTCGTTTTCCGAGCCGGCCTGAGGGTCTTATTTCCATCGGACCGGAGTTAACTTAGCGTGTCGGATCGGAGTTAGCGTTATTGAAAATATTCTATTCTTGAACTTCATACAATAGGGAAGCCTAGTTTAGACCAAAGTTCTAGAAAAATAAAGATTTTGTAAAAGGTTTTCACTCCTTCTGTCCAGTTCTTTCCTCATGTTTGTCTCTGGGACGTCGCTGACAAAGACCTTTGTATTTAGTTAACCATCGTAATCCCAATATACTGTGGGGTCTACAAGTTGACTTCTTAGTCCCATAAACACCTGTTGGTCCTCGCTAAGCTCGATTGTGTATTGAATTCTTTGCAGCCTATTAATTTCTGCAAATTGCATTCTAGACATTTCATGGCCTATGCTGGAGCAAGTCTCATATGAGACAAGGCTCGAGTCGCAGAATGTCTCAATTCGTCAATTGGATATCCGAGGATGACATCTTGGTCTTGATCATCCAGGAACAGCTGACTCTTGGTGACTGGGATGACTTGATTTTGGCTGTTTGAGGGGGTGGGGAAAACAACTTATAGAACAATAATATTGCAGTCATAAGGTATCCAACCACAACACCTACTTGGGTTGGTTCCTGTCTTGTGGTCTTTCCATCGGTATCCAACATGTAAATTTCGACAAATCCACTCACGTGGTAGTTGTTATCATGAACTCGCCAAACAAGCAGGAAGGCAACTCTCGTGTGGCCACTACTGCCGAGAAGAAGCAACGGTACGTCGTTCTGCAATTCTGGTAGACTGTCAGGGGAGCCACTCTCCATCATTGAAAGTACCTGTAACTGCGCTATAGGTTTTCCTGAACCAAGCTGTCAGTGCCTGTCATTGATTTGGAGAAATAACGGAGCCGACCTGACATGTCTACACTCGTATTTCTCTTCAACAGAGTCCCAAGCGCGCTTCACCCACTCCTCACTTGGGCCATCATAAATGAGATGAAGATGGTCCTCGGCTGTCGTGAGATGTTCCGTTACGTGGGCGGGAAAGTCGGGATATTTAGGGATAATGAAGCGCTGAAGCGCATTGTAGAGCCCATCATTTTGATGATCGTACTGAAAATCGTAGCCTGGGGTTAGTTATGGGCGAGGAGAAAGAATTTCGGATGTCGGGTAGATGCCATAAAAGAGTCATAAAATGGTCATGTAACGGGCATACAAGCCCACGAAGGAAGTCATGCGATAAAGGACCTTTGCGTCATGTCTCTGACACTGCAGCTGAATTAGACTTTGCGTTTCAATAGATAAACTTTATCATACATCAAGAACCAAGACTGAAATTCGCCGTCCTACAAAGGCCTCACATAACTACCTACTCAAGAAGGCGATCCCGAGGTCTACACGCAACGGTGACGGGCGGATTCTAAAAAATAGGTAATGGCGATGGTGACAGTCGGTGTTGATTTGTTGTTGGTGTGGCTTCATCGCCCGGTTCTGCCGGGCAACTATTTTACTATATACCTGGGATTCAGCTGTTTTATATCGGAATATTTTCGGACTTGTGGTCAACTGGAGGGCGACCTTTATATGCCTTTATATGTTTCTAGTTTTGTGGGTGGATCCGGAAAAGGGGCGATTGAAAATTTCTTAAAAGCACGAGAGAGGACTGCGATTTTTTCTTCGTTGTCTAAAGTCTGGTCAGCCGCATCGGCCTTTGCGGTCGTATGAAAAGTGTGAGCGATGGCGAAATGAATTGATAATAGCGTGGCGCTAGGCAGCTCGTATGAAAGGCCATGCTGAGCTAATTTGACTGAAGGAGAAAGATTCCGTAGAAAGCCTTGATGAGGCTTGTAATTCACGATATTATAACGGTTGGACTAAAGTGGGTAATGAATGATTCGCTCCAAACGTTCTCAAAGACCTTTTTGACGCTGTGATGTTGTCCATGCTTTCTATGATTATTCTTTGATTGTGTTTTGACGTAACCGCGTATGAGATACTGTGTGAGATTGTCGACAAATTTCCTCAATATGTCACAGACACGAGCATGCCTAGTGCCTTTCGATTGATCTGAGTAGTGCCAGCCGAGGGTATGATCAGTGGGTTCTTTGGAAGCAAAGACTCATTTTCATTCGAATTCCAAACCAATCTGTCTCGCAGCCATGTTAGGCGGCTATTGCCTGCATGCATCAGGATGTTGGCCTTCTTGTTGGTTTTTATCCAGAAGTCCGAGTATTTTCTTGGCCAATTGCATGCGTAGGCCGCCACATGTGAACGCATTGTAGGATGCCTTCGTGAATTTGGAACGAAAGTAAAATCCATGCACAATCTGGTCGTCTGTTATATGTTTATCCCTTCTCAAAACTCTCCGCCAAATTGAGGCATGCTATTGCTCTTCTGTTGCTACCATCCTTTCGCTTTTGGGCCCCGATCCACATGGTCTCAACCGGAGACAAATGAAAATCGCGTCAAACAAAAGAAAAGAAGAGAAGACAACGGCAGTCCCACCAATATATCTGTTGCCATTCCTCGTCCTGTTCAAACTTTATATCCTCAGTGTGGTTTTCGGCGTTGGCGTTGTCGGCGTCACCATCGTCACCCTCGTCAGTTTCTTTCTCCTTGATAGTCGGCGAAATTATGGGCGCCGCTTCCAGTTTTCTAGCTTGATCGGACAGATCGCATTCGCCATTACCGCGTTTTCGACGGTGGCACGGGTGGTCCCATCGAGCCAACGCAGGGAGTCGAAGAAAAGCACAGCTCTGCGAAAACGTCCCATTCCCAAACGCGTCACACTGGGGCCCAGGCGGCCCATTCCGCGTTAAAGGTCTCCTCGAATTCGCGGAAGGCCTGATCGTATTGAAGGATCAGTACGAGATATCTGCGTTTCTTTCCTCCACAGTCCGCTTCACCTTCCGTGCTTCCTCCCACTGTTGGTTGAAAGCGGCTCTGTTGATGTGTTGGACATATATTCTTGAGGTCACCGCGTATATGTAAAGTGAGGCGATATTTCGTTCATGTCGCTCTTTCTTTTCGAGTAGCGTGTGCATCAGCTGTACCTGAACTTGGTACTGGTCAATCACAGGAAGTGCTGCTATCAATGCGATTGCCTCCTCGATACTATGACACGTATGGCCATTGATTGTTACTATCACTTCTGCCCGGCTGTCGGTTGGGATTAATTGGATTTGCGGCGTGACGGGGCTGCAGGTGGAGCTGCAGTTGAATCCCTCCCTTGGAGAGCCGTGCGAGATGAAAATTATGACCCGACACTTTGACGTTTGCCCAATGGGTTTGAAAAACTCAGCCCACAGTACACCACCCTAGTATGTTTCTTGTGCTTCATCTAGGGATAGATAAGCATTCTCGTCGATTGATGTATCATCCCTGACACCCGTCTGCTTTCTTAAGTATTGTAACCATTACCTCTTTCGTACAAGGTCCTCTTCTCAACCGGACAGAACATAGATCGAGCTGGTAGCATTTGGGTCGCCAAGTAAATTATTGACTATAAGTCTCATCAGAACGGTTTTGCCTGAGGTAGAAGTACCCCTTATCCTAGCAAGACGGTACCAATCCAGACGCGCTAAATCCTCTTCGACCAGATTTCTGCGATCTGCGGTGGGCACGGAAGCATCTATAGACATAAGATTCATTCTAGAACATATCAAAATGTACCACTACTCACACATATGCTTTCGTTGCTTTGTCGCCAGATCTTTTTTCTCCGAGTTTTGTGTAGTTGACAAGACAGCAGGCTTCTCTGGCACAACGGGGCTCAACGTGAGACGCAGCCAACGTTGACGGTAAAAGCAACTTACCAGATTCATAGTGGTCACTCGTTAGATGTCCACACGCATTACATATTCCAGTTTATACAAATGACATTACAGCACATGAGCCTTCAAGTGAGCTGTTTAACGGCCACTTACATTCCCCCATGACCATAAGGACGCGCAAGGCTCTCGTATCAGAGCCAGAGACAGTAAAGTGAGAGGGGCCTCCAAATAAGAGGCGTTCTGAGAACAGCTCTGTGGCGATTTAGTGTCTGGTCGAAACCTACATGATTTCGGCTTCATCTGGTTTAGTTTTGCGGAACTTGTCGGCCGCATCTGGTTTCTGTCGCTTGGTCCAGATAGAGCGATGTGAGAGTAATGTCGAAATTAAGCTTGGTAGGCAACTCAGCGCTCACAGGAGTAAGTCCGGTCATCCTCAACTCGCAGAGGCGAATCCAAAGCTTCATGCATGGCCCTGCCGTTCTGTACGACAAAAAAAGGGAACGAACAATCTGGCCCGCCTGGGCCAATAGCCCATTCGCAGACTGTGAAGTCTGTATACCCTCCCGGGTTTCTAGACTGAGGCTCGATTGCGTAATTGGCGACGGGAAACGTCGCAGACAGTTTCACACGGGATCAGGCCAGTTTTCTTTCATAGGACGTCCTCCAAGTTGAGGGTAATCGATTGTTTTTTCATGGCTTATGGGAACTGGGTACAGTGTCTAAATCCGTATTAGCACTGTGTAGAACGAAGGTTATGCATTAGAATTACCTTTCCGTCGGCTCTTCTCTTCCGTTTTTTGGAGATAGGGTCTTACTCATGGGCCTCAAAAAAGCCAGACTTG